TAAAATTACACTTTTATAACGAACTACTAATATCGTCTATTCGTAAATATATCCCGCATTTTCAACTTTCGTTTTCATTGGCACGGAATAAAACTCGCGGAATGTACCGTTTATTGTTGTATGTAATTCAATATATGAAAATGAATTTGTATAGAAGTATGTAATAGTATTCTATTTAGAATATTTTTAGCTTGAGTTCTTGTCACAAAAATAAAACGGTAATTCCTTTTATTCTATAATTTCTTTTCTTTAATAGTTTGCTCGAGTAAAATAATTATCGGTTTTCAACATAATCACACATGCTTGCAAACATAATCCATAGAAAACTACAAAGTATGCTTGATTGAAATAAAAATAAATCTATATATTATTAGTTAAAGTCACCCTTAAAATATAATAGAAGATACTCAATATAAAAGGAAGAAAAATGGAAAAATCTTGTTCATTCTTATTCATTGAAAGAAAACTAAAAGCACAGTGCAGTGAGTTAAGAAACAAAATATGATGTTTATGAAAAATTGAGAAAGGGAGTAAAACTAAAACTGAAATAGCAAAGGATTTTCAAATTCCAAAATGTACGCTCTCGGGTATTGTGTCTAAAAAAGAAATAAATGATTAATTATTCTTAATCAAACGCTCTTAAAAATGGCGGACGATGTTTAACAATCAGTTCGTTATATGTAAATCTGTTCGCTATAAAAACTCCTGATACAAGGAACTAATTCGCTATATGCTTACAAGGAACTCCGGATATAAGGAACAGATTTTGAATGTCCCAATTAGTTCGTTATAAGCGGAGTTTACTGTATAGTTAAAAACAATGACACACCTGGGGCAGGACCAGTTTTGACCCCAGGGCTTTTATTTGAACAATCTTTGTAGACAGTTACTATAAATTGTCTCATGCTAAATATCTAAACTCTAGCTATTCGGGTTTTTTCAAAGAAGATTTTTAAGTTTTTGCTATACACATATAAGGAAAATCAATGACCCCGGGGCAGGCCAATTTTGACCCCAGGGCTTTTATTTGAACAAACTTTGTAGACACTCACTAGAAGATGTTTCATGCTTATTATCTAAACTCTAGCTATTTGGGTTTTTTCAAAGAAGATTTTTTAAGTTTTTGCTTTACACATATAAGGAAAATCAATGACCCCGGGGCGGAGCCAATTTTGACCCCAGGGCTTTTATTTGAACAAACTTGGTAGAAATACATTAGAACATGTTCCATGCTAAATATCTTAGCTCTAGCTCTTTGGGTTCTTTAAAAGAAGATTTTTAAGTTTTAACTATATGCATATAGGGAAAATCAATGACACCCTGGGGCGGGCCAATTTTGACCCCAGGGCTTTTATTTGAACAAACTTAGTAGACACCCATTAGAACATGTTTCATGCTAAATATCTTAGCTCTAGCTCTTTGGGTTCTTTAAAAGAAGATTTTTTAAAGTTTTTACTATATGCATATAGGGAAAATCAATGACCCCATGGGGCGGGGCCAATTTTGACCCCAGGGCTTTTATTTGAACAAACTTGGTAGAAATCCATTAGAACATGTTCCATGCTAAATATCTTAGCTCTAGCTCTTTGGGTTCTTTAAAAGAAGATTTTTAAGTTTTTACTATATGCATATAGGGAAAATCAATGACACCCTGGGGCGGGGCCAATTTTGACCCCAGGGCTTTTATTTGAACAAACTTAGTAGACACCCATTAGAACATGTTTCATGCTAAATATCTTAGCTCTAGCTCTTTGGGTTCTTTAAAAGAAGATTTTTTAAAGTTTTTACTATATGCATATAGGGAAAATCAATGACCCCATGGGGCGGGGCCAATTTTGACCCCAGGGCTTTTATTTGAACAAACTTGGTAGACACTAACTAGAAGATTTTCATGCCAAATATCTAAGCTCTAGCTCTTCTGGTTTTCTAGAAGAAGATATTTAAAGTTTTTTCTTTTGGTTGCCATGGCAACCAGAGTTCTGCATGGAATTAAAATCTTTGAACAATTTTCAAAGGTGACCACCAAAGGAACATTCCTGTGAAGTTTGGATGAAATTGGCTTAGTGGTTTATGAGGAGATGTCATTTAAAGTAAAAGTTTACGGACGACGGACGGACACCGGACGAAAAGCGATCACAAAAGCTCACCCTGTCACTTTGTGACAGGTGAGCTAAAAAATAATCAGTATTATAGGACTTGTGCCAATCATGTTAAATAATCACAGGGAACACATGTGTGAAGTTTAAATCCATTCCGTTTAGTTGTTATGCAGATACCAGCTTGCAAGCAAAAACTTAACCAAAAATTTTGAAGTCGAAAAAGGGGCATAATTATGCAAAAAAGCAAATCAGAGTTATGGGACCTGTGCCAATCATGTAATATAAGCATTTAGAACAAGTGTGTGAAGTTTCAATCCATTAATTCCCTTCAGTAGTTATGGAGATACCAGCTTGCACACAAAAACTTTAGTCGGAAAATGGGCATAATTATGCAAAAAAGCAAATCAGAGTTATGGGACTTGTGCCAATCATGATAAATAATCACAGAGAACAAGTGTGTGAAGTTTCCATCCATTCCCTTCAGTAGTTATGGAGATACCAGCTTGCACGCAAAAACTTAACCAAGAATTTCTATGTCGAAAAAGGGGCATAATTATGCAAAAAAGCAAATCAGAGTTATGGGACTTGTGCCAATCATGATAGATAATCACAAAGAACAAGTGTTGAAGTTTCCATCCATTCCCTTCAGTAGTTATGGAGATACCACCTGACACGCAAAAACTTAACCACGGGGACGCTTACGCCGACAAATGGGTGACTGCATTAGCTCGATTATTCTGCGAATAGTCAAGCTAAAAATTAATCTCAGTACCTGAACATTTAAACTTATTCATGTAAGATGCTGTCACATGAAAACGAGTTTTCAAATGATAGACGAAAGTTTGCCTAAAAAGAAATTAATTTTGCGTGATCAATTATTTGCGAATAATTTCAATATGCAAAAATCGCAAATATACAGTATATGAATATTTTTAGCATAATTATGCAAATGAATAAAGTACACATGTGATGCGTATTATCCAATTAATTAAAAGAACAAATCAAAGCTTTGTCCCTACTGTGATGGGGTATATGCTTCTGTTAATATTTAGATTGCATTGACTTGACCTTGAACTTGATTAGCCATTAATCAATTGTTACAATTAGATGTAGACTTTATCTATTTCCAATGAAAAGTACACAACAGAGAGCTTATGTGATTTTTAGTGTCAGGGACAAGAAAAAACAATAGAGGGAAAAAATGTTTAACACATGTACATCTACGGGGTTCATCCAATTACCCCTAGAGACCCCAAGACTTAACCACAAGACACCCAAAGTAAATTATCTATTGTGTTAATCATATACAAACCCCTCAGTGATAATCTAAGGGGAGGAACTACGTACAACCAATGATAATATTGGAATTATCTCGCTGAGGTAGTGTGACAGGTTGGAAGTAAATAAATAAGAAGTTCTAATCTCCCTAACTTGTTGGAATTGAATACTTGATGTAATTTTGGAATTCTTCTAAATTTAATGATATGTTTGTTTGTATGCGGTAACATAAAAAAATAGCTAGAATGGCATTATACATTATGACATTCAGTTTTAACAGATCAGAACAAATTATCTTTTATTTCAAACATATATTTTGTAATAACTGTTTGAACAAATATGTCAAGCAAAAAATGACATTGTCACAGAAACAAACTTGCACCAGTAACCCTGGCATTATTTCATTGTTTTAAACTATTTTGCACAAAAGGAATATTATACTTATAATTATATTCTTACATTAAAATCAGTAAAACAATTACAACAATGTCAGACAAGAAATGCAGGTTTTTTTATTTATCATTCCATTCAGAGTTATTATCAGTGAAATATGGTTTATTACTTGTTGGCATGTACATGTGAAATTCATTTTCTCAGAAGGGAGATAATTCAATCACATAGTTACCTCCCTTAGATAATGTAAAATTAAACCACATTTACATGGAGTACATGTCAGATGTCAGTTAAAGTGTCTTGGTAGCCTTTAGGTGTCTTGGCATAGTCTTGGGGTAGTCTTTTGGTAATTAAACTGACCATGTATCAAAACTGATCAGAAAGTCATTTTCTTATTTTAGCATCAGAGTATTAAGATTATCAGAGTGTTATAATTTTTAAACATTTATATAAATGTAATTGAAAAACCTCACCAAAAAGGAAAGATCTTTCTCTCATGCTTTGTTCCTGCGACTGTTGCATTAAGGAACTCCACTGAAATGTTTTGACTTGACGGGACTAGAAATATTTCTCCAATATTTAAGAAACATTTGATGTAGGCCTAGACCAATAACTTAAAGTGTGCAAATTTTCAGATCATTATCACACCTTCTTATACCAGAATCATCTATTATTAATGAGCAAAATGCAAAGCGTTGCAACACTTTCCACTCAAATTACACTACAAATTACACACAAAAAAATGGATTTCCAATTTAATTTCGGGCATACTCTTTTGTCAGCCTTTGCATATTTTTCCATTTTAACTGCTTCACTTGATCTATGAACAAATAAATGTTTTTTGTCAATTTTTGGTGTTTCCCTTCAATACACTTTTAACTGTATAAGTAACTTATAACGCATTTCATTATCAAATTTGCCTTAATTTTGAGTTTAATAAATTATTTTTTTTATATTGAATAGTTTAAAAGAAAAAAAAAAGAAGAAAAAAAAATACAAATTAACTTCTTTATTGATTTAACCACTTTCAATTTAAACACATACACATGATAAATCCCCATGGCCTAATTTGATCTGTAAATGAAGATATTTCCAATGACTTATCAATCTATTTATAATAACTTCTTTAAAGTTTGGTTATTTATTTTCACCACTTAATTATCAATCTTGACTTAAAATGTGATAAATGTGCACATGTCTAAATTATTATGAATAAACATTTATTTCTACCTTTTTTTATGGTTCAACTAAATAGTGTCCATCTATCATCACTCTACAGTATTTAGTGAGCTGTCTGTCCAAGGTTGACATGATTGACATCTGTAATAACAAAATATAAATCAGATTTTCAAAAGGAAAATAGATTTCTGCATGAGGATTAATGTGTCTTAAGAATATTCAGGCCTCGACATTAGCGGTGGTCCGTTGGTCCGAGACCACCTGATTTTGGCAAGGACCACCTAATTTTAAAATGCACTGGTCCGTCGGACCACTTGAATTTTCTGGTTTGTGCAAGGCTCATTTGGGAGAATGGCGATTTGGTCAAAAACATGTTATATATATTTTGTTTAAAACCATTTGTCATATGAACATGTATATGGTTCATTAATAGATTAATCTGATAAGTTAAAGAAGGTCTTAAATCATCAATAACTTTCATTTTAAGTCGCTAAAATTGTGTCTATGCAAGTTAAAAGAGTTAAGAATTTGTGATATTAAGCTTGGTACAAATTGCATTAAAATGATGCTAGTAATGATGCATCGTTGGATTACCACGGTGGAACCTTTAACATTTATGTTATGTTACATGTTAATCACACGTGGGTCTCCAACGATGGTAATTATGATATTGTATGGGATACAGTATGAACTTTCAATTTCATATACATGAATAATGGCAGCAAACTAAAGGAACTTGAGAAATACATCAAGTTATTTGCTAGTTATCTTTATTTTAACTTTTTAACGCTAAGAGATCCATTTCTTCCAGAGTTAAAATTACTTTTTTTTTAATTTTTAATAAAAGGTTAAAAATACTCAATGTAAAAAATAAATATCAACCAACAAGCAACGGGGCGGTAAAAATTCTGTATTCATAATAAATCTGTGAGAAAAATAAGCTAAACTATAGTTATATATAAAGTTGTTTTTATTTTTTATCCTTTAGATATTTCCTTGTTTTAAGATAATTTATTAGTTTTTATTAAAATGTTAATCTATAAAAGATACATGTAATTATCATGATTATAAGACGTACCACGTATCAGCAATGTATATTTGAATAACAGTAAGAAAAAAACCCAGACACAAATGGTTTCACTATTCCCTAACTTGAGTTGAGACAGAAATCACTTCAATGTATAAGTTAACACAAATAAGAGCCCTGTTGTGTATTTTTGAATGAGCTATGAAAAAAAAAAAAAAATAAAAATAAATAACTTCACGACAGAATACCTACTAACTTGCTCTCAGATAAAAATATATATCTAAAATGTCTGTTTTCTTTAAAGGTTAAAAATACATCTTTGTCATACTTTTTTCTAAACTTATAGTAAACTGATATAATAATAATAATTGACCACTTGACTTCTGGAAGGACCACCTTAATTTCAAATCTAGTGGTCCGGCTTACCACCTGATAAAAAAGTTAGTGTCGAGGCCTGATATTTGATGAAAATAAGCAACCACACAAGCACTCCCTATATCATTTCTGGGATGGTCTATTAATGTTATTGTAAACATGCATAATACAACTTTATGTATAACTTGGTTTAATTTAAGGTGCATTAACCCTAATAAAGCATATTTGAACAAAAGAGTTAAAGATAACTTAAAAATTAAACATTGCTTTTTATAATGATTGATAAATGTATTGGTTTGTTTTATTTTTCCTTTTTTCATTGGTTTGGTTATATGTTAATTGCATCATATGGTTAGTTTCTAGCTTTAATGGTAAAGGACGGCCACACCTTCAATGCATTATTTCAGGCAAAAACGGGCTCCTAAGTAGAACCACTGACGTTTTTGTAAGCTAGCAGGGCTGAGCTTCCTCACAAGAAAGAATTAAAATCCCTTTCATGATTATTCCCCTTTTAAATGAACTCAAAGAAGGGACCTTTTCTTAAGACTTTGTATTTATTAATTTGATTTTTTGTCAAGAAACTGACAATTTTTTTCATTAACCTTATATAATTTATTTTCTATCTATATATGGTTGCTATGGTAAACATATGAGTTTTGATGGTTTTGTTTGTTTGTTTGGATTTTTACGGCATGTCAACACATAACTGACCATAATTATCATGTCCTGAATGCTATAATAGGCTTAAAATGTTATGTAAAACTTTGTAAATGACAATAAAAGAGTTTTGATGGAAACAAAGGAATTTTCTGGACCGTAAGTAATCAAACACACAGCGTCCGGTCATCACATGTCAACAATATACTAAATGGGAAAGAATATTGAGATATTTGTTTGACTATCAATTGAAAATGCAAAATATTAATATGGAAAACAACTATGTGTAGTTTATGTGTGTTATTTTGATTTGACTGACTGACATACTAGTTGTAAAAGCCATGTTCACTAAATGTAGCAGCAGCCAGACACATGACACTTCATAGCAACCACGTTGAAAACGTGAATGGTAACTGAGCAAAGCGCATGCTCACGCACCGACTTCCACTCTATCCAAATACTGCATATACATAAAGCAAAAGTTTGTAAGTGCCATACAGTCTGACCACTATCATAAATGTTGGTAGTTAAATTTGATATTGACAGTAGGACAAATCCAGCATACAAAAATTCTGCAGGTTAAAGGTACTAAGACAGATAATAAAACTAGAAATGTGTCCATAGGACACGGATGCCCCCACACGCCACTGTTCTGTCAATCTTATGACTCTAGGTCAAATATTTTTTGGACTACATGTGCCACAAGTTGAAAACTAAAAATCAACAAAGGGCGGCAATAATTCTGTTAAATTGGTCGCAGCAAAAATTCCTTCCTTTACTACCATCTACACATTAAGGTTGTTCATCCCTGGAAGTTTAAGCAAAATCTGCCATCCGGTTTAAGAGGAGTTGCGTTCACAAAATTTCTACATAGTATATAGTGAAAAAATCAACAAAGGGCCATAATTCTGTCAAATTTGGTCGCAGCAAAAATTCCTTCCTTTACTACCATCTACACATTAAGGTTTTCATCCCTGGAAGTTTAAGCAAAATCTGCCATCCGGTTTAAGAGGAGTTACGTTCACAAGATTTCGGAAATAGAACAAGGGGCCATTTCTTTTGTTATTTTCTATTGTTTAATAGAGGGCCAATGGCCCCTTACTCTATTGTTACGGAATGAATTCTATTGTTCTCCTTTGTTCTGTTTACAGTTAGATGGCCCCCTATCCCTATACGGTAGTGCGGACAGACGTATGGACGGACAAGTGCAACGCTATATGCTCCCACTCTGTGGGGGCATAAAAACAACATTGTTATTACCTTCTTCTGGTAAAGGGTAATCAAACAGTCCTCCATGGAGCATTCTACAGTAACATCTGAGCTGTTTGAAAGTCAAGAATTGTCTGTGAAAGAAAAATATTAAAACGATATTAAAAATAAATGGTAGTTACTTAATAATCTAAATCTGTGCATAAATCTCTTACTATTTGTCTCAATATAAGTAGTTGATTATACAATTTAAATTCCATTTGAAATTTAAGTGATATGGAAACTTAAATCTTTATCTACAGCAGCTTCTGCTACCAGTATACAGACAGACCTGTCTGACCTGAGCCTCTGCCACCAGTATACAGACAGACCTGTCTGACCTGAGCCTCTGCCACCAGTATACAGACAGACTCGTCTGACCTGAGCCTCTACCACCAGTATACAGACAGACTCGTCTGACCTGAGCCTCTGCCACCAGTATACAGACAGACTCGTCTGACCTGAGCCTCTGCCACCAGTATACAGACAGACCTGTCTGACCTGAGCCTCTGCCACCAGTATACAGACAGACTCGTCTGACCTGAGCCTCTGCCACCAGTATACAGACAAACTCGTCTGACCTGAGCCTCTGCCACCAGTATACAGACAGACCTGTCTGACCTGAGCCTCTGCCACCAGTATACAGACAGACCTGTCTGACCTGAGCCTCTGCCACCAGTATACAGACAGACTCGTCTGACCTGAGCCTCTGCCACCAGTATACAGACAGACCCGTCTGACCTGAGCCTCTGCCACCAGTATACAGACAGACCTGTCTGTACATCCATTTCCTCTGTATGGAGGCTCCATATCTTTATAATGGCTCAGTTTGTGTATTTTAATACTGAAATCCCTTAAACTTTTAATAAAGTCAAAGCAGGGTAAAGCAATGGTACAAATTTATCAAGATTATTCAAGGTTAACCTACTAGAATTAACTTTAATCTGCTGAAGCAGAAACCATGTAGCTTCCTGTAGCAAGCCTAAGGTGTGGGCCTACATATTCATGCAGATTGAAAATGGCTTGTTTGTATTTTGTTATTCACACTCACACTAATTACGCTGTTCCATTTAATATCCATAACACAAATTTAGCAAGTTTAAGGTGAACTAAACAGGTTAGAAAATGATGAAGTGTACAAATAAAGTGCGATAAATGGAAGTTAAAATATATACCATTTTATGAATCAGAAATAATCATCTATAGTTGGTATGGTATCAAACATATCTTCTTTGTGTGAAGTCAAAACATGTTTATTTTATTTTTATAAAGAGACTGTGTAGCAATTATTATCAATATTTCTTATATCAAATTTGAGCATAGTATACATATAATCAGAAGCTGTCAGTAGGACAACAGTGACGCTCAACTAGTCTTCAAACAAGAGCACGGATAATGTAAAAATTAACAAAGAGGAAGATTTCATTTTAGAAAAAAATTACACGACAGTTATCCGAGGTTGTGGATATTGATCATAAAAAAGATTTAAGTTCAAGAATTTTCATCTTAAATTCAGTCCATACAAAAGTTATTGGTCATGCAAAATTATGTTTAATTGTAATTCCAAGAACATAAATTTATTTTTAACAGAAACCATCAGTACTTTTTTGAAAGATTAATGCTGTATTCTTGAAAAAAAAACAACAACAAGCAAATTCGTTGAATTTCTATCCCCTGCCGTACTTACACAACAACTGAAGACATAAGGCTTTATTCATATATTTATCATGGCATAAACAGTAATATTCTTTTTACATAATAAATATTCAAGGCAATAACAGAGCCTTAACTCGGGTGTTAAATAGTAATATCTGGACATGGCAAGATGTAAATTGCTCTTTTGTATCTATAGGAAATACCTATGGTTCCTATAAAGTTTTGTTAAAATCAATAGAGCAGTTGCAAAGAAATAGCAATATTGCTCTATATGCATACTACATAACTAATTTAGGGCCAAAACTCTGTAATGAAGGGTCTGGTCTGAACAAGGCAACATATTTATGCACATTTCATCTTGGTATTAATGGTTTTCATAAAGTTTAATTGAATTCCAGCCAGTTGTTGCAGAGAAGTAGCATGGAATCAATTATTGCTCTATATGCATACTGCATAACTAATCAAGGGCCATAATTTTGAATTAGTGTCTGACCGGAACAAGGCAATGATATGCTTATCTCCTATTGGTATTGAAGGTTCCATAAAGTTTGCCCTATATGCATGCTGCATAACTAATCAAGGGCCATAACTTTCAGTTAAAGTGTCTGACCAGAACAAGGCGACGTTATGCGCATCTCCTCTTGGTATTGAAGGTTCCCATAAAGTTTCATTGAATTCCAGCCAGTAATTGCAGAGAAGAAGCACGAAAATGATTTTTGCTCTATATGTATACTGCACAACTTATCAAGGGTCATCACTCTGAGTTGAAGTGTCTGACCTGGACAAAGCGACAATATGCGCATCTCCTCTTAGTATTGAACGTTCCCATATAGTTTCGTTGAATTCCAGCCAGTAGTTGCTGAGAAGTAGCACGGAAACGATAAGTGCGCTATATGCATACTGCATAACTAATCAAGGACCATAACTCTGAGTTAAAGTGACTGACCAGAACAAGGCTACGATATGCACATCACCTCTCGGTATTGAAGGTTCCTATAAAGTTTCATTGAATTCCAGCCTGTAGTTGCAGAGAAGTAGCACGGAAACGATTATTGCTCTATTATATTAATATGCATACTGCATAATTAATCAAGGGCCATTACTCTGAGTTAAAGTGTCTGACCGGAACAAGCCGAGGATATGCGCATCTCCTCTTGGTATTTAAGGTTCCCATGAAGTTTTGTTGAATTTCAGCCATTGGTTGCAGAGAAGTAGCTCTGAAACAATTTTTGCTCTATATGCATAATACATAACTAATCAAGGGCCATAATTCTTAGTTAAAAGGTCTGACTGGAAAAAGCAGAGGATATGCGCATCTCCTCTTGATATTGATGATTCCCATAAAGTTTCATCAAATTCCAGCCAGTAGTTGCAGAGAACTAGGGCGTTAACGAAATTCGGACGGATGGACGGACGGACGTGCCAACATTTGGGGTTTATGTGCTTTTTCTTTGATCTTTATGTGGCATTTTCCCCCATAAACCAGTAAAATTACCAAATAAACCAGTCAGCCAGTCAGGATTTTCTTCTTATTTTAACTTAAAATATGGACGGAATGAAGCTCATAGAACATTGCATGTTCGCCCGGACGGACAACGCCAAAACAATATCCCCCTCCCCATTCCATCAGCGGGGGATAATTAAAAAAATATTTAAGGTGGTACCCGAATTTTAACACAAGTGGTTATGCAGAAACCCATGCTAGGGTGACTAGGATAGTTGTACTTATTCTTTTACTTATTCTTTAAGTAGTCTAGCAAGAAAATTGTCATAGAAACCCAGGCTTTTAATCTCGTCTATATGATGTAGGTACTGATAATGAACATACATTTTAAATTTCAAAAAAATCCATGAAGGAAGTTATTGAATTAATAAGGAAAATTTAAAGTGGAAATAATTCTTGAAATATGGACACTTAATTTATAAACCTTGTCATATTATCATATTATTGATGAGGGAAATTTCAACAAAAGTAAAATTATTCACAATTCAAGAAATGACATACATGTTCAATACAATTAATGATTTATTTTGCTTAGTATTGATCACTATATCTCTTTTGCGTTACTAGCACAGTAAGTGCTATTTTTTCATATTTTGTCACATTTTTGATCATTAATTTAATAGATTTTAACAAGTGCTGTTTACAATGTGTAAATTACTTTCTTTGTTCACTTGACTATATATTTTACTTTTATTTTTTTCTGAGAAACAGAGTGAGCGTATTATCTGAAATTTAGTACATGAGTTATTGGTCTAGACATACATCTAGTCATACAAAAATCTTGAAAAATATTTTCACTCCATTCATGCCAATAAAGTGGAGTCCCTTTAAGGATGAAGAAGTTATAATGAAAAAGATTTACAATTACGGTGTAAAACTTAAATCAGAAATCCTGACATGGTCACTGACACTGGATGAGTATGACAGCTCTGAATATACTCCCTAAAGTAGCGCTTAAAATGTTGTACTGCAATCTATCCTTTTTTCAAGTTTCACATAAATATTTTACTTTTCGAGTTATTACAAGTTTTGTTTTCGGCTATATTTTAAGTCTTTTTGTTGTCATAATCAACCAAAACTTCTCAATATAGGAAGAAACTAGAAATGTGTCGTCACATCACGGATGACCCCGCATACAGCCAAAATTTTAGATGTTGCAATATTCACAGTATATAAACGATTTGAACCCCAACCGGATCTTGTGAGAAGATTTTAGTGTCAGCCATATTCTGCCACTTCACTTGTTTAAGATATTGTTATTTATATTGATACTGATGGACGTTAGGTTAGTAAATCTATATTTATATTATAAGAGAGAAACTTTATTAAACGTCTTAGTTATGCAAAACATAAACGTTAGCACGAAGGCTATAAAATAATCGAAACTCACGAACAGCTTTCAGGTGATCAACACTGAACACGAACAAAAATCCGTCTTATTCCAATGTTGATTTAGTTAAACATTGAATTGTGATATCGAACTACTAAAGTAATCAATAACAAACGATAATTTAGTCATATGCATAACATATTGCTGTATCTTGAACATAAATTTAAGAGTTTTACCAAGGAGGTCATTTCCGTAAACTGAACGTTACTTGCTGGTGATTGTGAACCCTACTTGTGAGTTTACGAATTTTATCTGTACCCTGACTTGTGAGTATTTTTAAAGATTTATTGGAGAAAAAGTTTACGTTCATTGCGATTTTGTATCAATTATTGCCAGAAAATATAAACGATTGTAATAGAATTTTAGTATATAAGGTGGGATCTAAGGTATTTACCGAGAATTGGTTTAACTGATAATATTGTTAATCATTTGTTTAATAAAATATATAATGCTATGTATATTTTTCTTCCGGATCACCATGGAAGAATACAACTGTATATACTGTTCAGTAAAGACTACGAATTTCAATGCCATCATTGACCACATAATTATTCGCCATCCAGACTACAACTTGAAAATAAGAATAAATAATGATCAGAATAAAATTTCCTACTTAATAAATTTCACAGCAAATAACGTAAACGAAAAAAAAAGAAGTTTATAACACCAATAGCTGAAACACTGACAATTAAAATTTCAAAATTTCCTGAATATCCTCCGTTTAAAAAGATGCCAAAATTGTCGACGTCTATGAAAGATATACAAGAATAAAAGTCGTACATGTCAGAAAAAGAAAGTCAATGAATTTCTGAGAATATAAAACAGTGTTTAAAAAAGCAGAATGAAATCAACGGTAGGTGTAAAGCTTTCAATATGTTGAAATAAGTAATCTGCAAAAAAATCTTGTAATGATATTTCGATAACGGTCACGTCAAAACTAACAACAATGCCGTTGAACTAAATATAAACAATTTATAGTACATATGTAATATTTCAGCTTTATATCTTTCCAAAGAAAAATGAATGGTAAGTGAAGGTGAGGTTTGTTAGTTAATTATTCCTATCAAGAAATAATTGACTTTCTGGTTCGTATAAACAGCCACTTCATGCCGGTATTTTCCATGACGAAGCTCCTCCATTCATATGCAGTTTTAGTTACTTACATAGAACTAAAACATGTACCCTTCTCTTGTGACACAATAACTTCATATTCTGCACATTAAAATTTGGAACATACGACAAAAACAATAAAAATCATCAAAAGTGACTCGCAAGTAATGGTTCAGTGAAAACTCAAGTAGGGTACAGATCATTAAAATTGTTTTAGCAAGACGGGTACAGTTATCAGAAATGTCGCCTCTATTATATACTATGTTTTATCAATATTCAAAGATATTTTCACAAGTGTCTGTCCGGTAACATGAGGTTAAGACAATAAAGTAAAGATTCAGATATGAGTTATAGTGAAATAAAACAATTTTAGGCATACATTTGCTTGTGTAATCGGCGTGTGTTGACATAAACAAAATATGAGGCGAAGAGCACAACGTTTTATGCGCATATATTTTACGAAGAAGTTTATGGATGTATATTTTAGCAAAGATAAATTATTTCTTAATATGATTCAAATGTTAACATACCGTAACATATTAAATTCAAGCCGATTTTTAATAGTTTAATGTGTCATTACGTCTGATTGTACGTTTAGATGCTGAGATCTTCTCACAAGATCCGGTTTGGGTTCAAATCGTTTATATACTGTGATATTTAGTTCCAAATTTGTTTGCAGAAATTATTTTTTTCATTTTAAGTTCAAAGCCCTTAAAACTATTCAATGTAAAACATAAACCATTTTTATACAAAGTTCAAGGTATTGAAACTATTCAGTGTTAACCTTATTGCATATTTGTAGCCAAAATAATGACTACATACATTTCTACAAAAGTATTAGTGCTATCTAAAAATTTAAATTTTTCCAACATTCAAGAGATAACTTTGTCCAAAATCATTGAACCACGACCAAATTCAAACTTGAACTGCTTATTCCTAAGATGTATGTATATGCCAAATTTGAGTTGAATGTGTACATTACCATTGGGATAATAATGTACGGAAGTATAAATTTCTGATTTTTTTTCAAAGTTCAAGAGGGATACCTCTGTCAGCTATCATCAAACAATGACCAAATTGGAACTTGACCAGTGTATTCATATGTTACAAAATCTGAGTTGAATATGTACAACTGTGGGGGAGATAATGAACAGAAACTGAAAATTTCCTTTTTTTTTCAAAGTGAAAGGGACATAACTCTGCCAAAAATCATCAAACCATTAATAAATTCAAACTTGATCTGCAAATTCCTTTGATGTATTCATATGTCAAATTTGAGTTGAATTTGTAATACCGTTGGGGAGATAATGAAGGGAAACTGAAAATTTCATATTATTTTCAAAGTGAAAGGGGCATAACTCTGCTGAAAACCATCAAACCATGAACAAATTTGAACTTAACTTGCACATTTCTTTGATGTATCCAAATGTCAAATTTAAGTTGAATGTAAAATACGGTTCTGGAGAAAATGAACGGAAACTGAAAATTTTGTATTATATTTTGACGTATTCATATATTAAATACGAGTCGAATGTGTAATATCGTTTGGGAGATCTGAAAATTTCATATTATTTCCAAAGTGAAAGGGGCATAACTCTGCAAAAAATCATTGAACCATGACCAAATTGGAACTTGACCTGTGCATTTCTTTGATGTATCCATAGGTCAAATTTGAGTTGAATGTGTAATACCGTTTTGGAGATAATGAACGGAAACTGAAAATTTCATCAAGGGGCGTAACTCTTGTCAAGAATCATCATACCATGACCAAATTCGAACTTGACCTGTATTTTCTCATGATTTATCCATATGTCAAATTTGAGTTGAATGTGTGCAACTGTTACTAAGATAGTGAACAGACACTGATTATGACAGAATGGCCATTATATAGCGGGGCATAAAAAAAAGGATGTGCTTTATCTCCTGACTGCAATATGGCCATATTTGTAGTTAAAAAATATTGCCAGTACTTACCCAGTTTTGTTGACAGATGGACTGACAGACAGACAGACAGATGGAGGGTTAACCTAAAGTCACCTCCGTTTAAAATGGAAGAGAACAAAAAATATGTTTCCTTAACCCATTACTTCATATACACGCCTTTTAACTCCTTTTTCAACCCCCCTTTTTTGTTGTCTCAAATGATGAAAAAATGCCTTATTTAGGCCCCAAACACTTGTTTTTGTTTGAGAAATGTTGTTTAAAAAAGTGACCTCTTTTTGGGCGCGGCCCCCCAACCAAAAGATACATCAGGGGGTTGCCAGATGTGCCTCCTTCTGTTTTGGGGGTTTGAAGGGGGCGGCAGTCCCCCTCATCGCCAAGACAATTTTGAACTTGTGAGAGGCTAAAAATGACCCCAGATCGATCATAAGGTTACGTCTAACCAACGCTGAAAAGCATTTGAGTCTATCACAATCAATTGAGAAGTTGCAGCACTTTGGAAACAATTTTGATGGAAAAAATCAACGCAAAATAGTGATTTTTGGCAATTTTGAGATGTCCCCTCGTTGCCAGGGTAACAGGAAATTTAAGCCTGAGCATGTTGTTGCAAAGGCAATGGTCCAGTCAACATTTGTGCCAAGTTTGATTAGTGTTGAAGCAGTTTTTATAGTATTATAGCAATTTGAACTTGTAACGGGAGACTTTTCAATGAAAACAGCCATTTTTCACAAAATGCTCATGAAGTAATGGGTTAAGATGGATAAATATACCTTTAAAACATTTGTTACCAACCTGATATTTTTTCTACCTAGTCTGTTGTAAATTCTGGATATCTAATTTTCCTTCTGTTTAACTGCTGAGGTACCCTATAAATGAGAAGTAACATTTAATTACTCTTAGATTTTGGTAAATTTTACAAGAAACTTTTTCAGTACAACATTCTCAGATACATTAATGTCAAATATGAAATATTTATAGATTTTACATGTTGTTCTGAAGCTAATATCTTGATCTTCAATATGCTTTTATAAACATTTAAAAAAAATTGAAATAATATACTTTAACAATTAAAATGGATAATTATGAAAATAGATATTAAAAGAATATGAATTAAATTGTGAATTAATTTGTACAATTCTTTGATTAGTATTAAAAACGTTTATTAAATGTTAATCATTTTTTAGGTCCTTGTGCAAAATAAAATAGTAACTCTGAAAAAACAGAGAGATTGAATGATCTGAAGATTTGCCTATACAAGTTATACTGTATAGATAAAACAGTATAAAAGTCATAAAAAAACACTTTCATTCCTCAGCCCGGGTGTAGATTTTCCGAGGTTTGTGAAAAAAACCATGGAAACTGCTTCAAAAACCTTGGAAATAAACCAGTTTTACAAGGTTTTTTTTTAATTCCGAGGTTTTTCTTAAAACCTTGGAAAATTTATCCAAGGTTTTTGGTATAAAATCCTTGGAAATAAAGAAAACCTTGGAAACTATCTCGGAATTTAAACACTCTGCCAAAAATCAGCTTGGAAAAAGCTTGGAAATGAAGAACTTTGTCATTTTTTTGCTCGGAAAAGAACTTAGAAAATTTACGTAAATTTGTTGGAAACACTTTGCCAATATTTAGCTTGGAAATGACCTCGGAAATTTGTACTTTACTAAATTTCATCTCGGAAAATGTTAAGCCATAATGGTAATCATGATTTAACTTAAAATGGGCATCAAAAGCAATGATCAACAGTTAAAGCTGGCAGATTTACTCAAACCAAGCTACCAACCCGGCTGTAGTTTGCCCATGGATTATAATTTATTTAATCCATGGTCAGAGCAAACAGTTGTCCATGGTTAGTCCATGCAAGACAGCATGGTCCAGGGAAATCAATTTTCAGTATGGACATTGTCGATGGCCAACTACCTTCTCAATAAATTTGTACTTTAAATTTCTGAAGCGATTTATTTGGGAGGAATCAATTTAAAAAAATTTAAGTGTGAAAACATGGAAAAGTTAAATAAATTCCTTGTTGACATAAAATACAATTTTATTAATGGCTATAAATGTATCGCATCTAATCATAATAAAAGAAAGACTATTCAAATAACTGATGATCAGAAAGACTTTAAAAAAACATTTTTTTTTCATATTTTTTTTTTATTATTTATAATTATCGTTACTAGATATCTTCTCCATTTTTAAGAATAGATAAAAGAGCAAAACTGTAATACAAAAAGAAACAATCAGTGTTTATGGCTATTTAAGTTTCCAAATGCATCAGTATTTTTCCCAAAGTTTCTTTCTATTTAAAGACTTAACTTAGGGTTTCTTGACAGCCTGTAAGCAACACTGAAATAAGAATGCTATATAAACTTTAATCTATGTTTTATGCCATATAAAATAGTATATTCTACAAAAAAATCTGTGACATACATTCAGATTACAATTTACTCTGCTCTTAATTTATGTGTACAATAAACATACATAGTTATTAATTGTCCTTTAAATATAATTATGTACAATTGAATGTCTGAAATATAATAACCAGTATGCTTGTTAATTTCTTATAATTAGGATAAATAAATACTGCATCCACTAAGATTTCACACACAGAATATAACACACTGATCAGATAAAACTAATGGCACCCCAGGTGGTTTCCTCAATCTTCTCAATCTTCTCATTGGGCATTCTGGGATAGACCAGATTGTTCCATGTGATTATTCAGAGGGAGTCTGGGTTTTTATACATTCCAAAACAATAAGTCTAAAATGACATTGCAACAGTGATTCTCTTTCAAGAACTTATTAAAATTTTCAACTTTTACATTTATTTATCATTTGATATATTTGTACCTTCAATAAATGTAAAATTAAAATGGTGGTGGCTTTGATATTTTGGGATCACCGCTGTTTCACATTATAATAAACCTATCCAACATACTGTTGAAAAATTTGAATCTCAGACATTAATGGGTCAAGTTATAGTTGGAAATAGTGGAAACATGGATTTATTTAAGCAATTTTGGAGATATCTTGTTTTAAATGTTAGGGAGCATATTATGGAATTTTCAAAGAAAACATTTATCTAAGTGTGACAAGATTCAGGAAATGTTTGGTTGTTGTAATTGAACCTAAAGATCAATGACCTGAGACAGGAAGATAAACAAAAGAAACATAATAGTAAAAAGGTTCAGGTAAATAACTTTTAGATACATTTATGCAGAAAAACTGTTTTTTTCTTCAAATAAGTATTAAATACAAACTATTTTAGATCTATATTTTTAACCTCTGTAAGCTAGTTTAAATACAATTGTAAAATTTAGAGGAGATTTTATGAGTATAAATGCTATGTTTGTCTATGATTGTATTAACAAGATGAATGCATGAAACTATGATGACATTATTTATAAACTTTCATCTTTCATCTATTATTTGAATCTACAAATGTTTAATTACAGAGTCAGCTTGAAAGCAAGTTTGCAGGTGTTCCAAACTACAAGAAGATGGCAATCCAGTCTCTTATCATAGCTAGTATAAAGCAGAGGAATATACTGAAAAGTCATTGGCATTGGCACAAAGGAAGCCAACTGTAGACCAGGAAAGGCTTCAAGGAATATACTACAGTATGTTTTTGTTTTAAAACTAGGTTTTGAAAGTTTCAATTTGAAATTGGAATGAATGATGGTTTCTGGAACTGATTTTTTTATTGATACTTGAAATGCCGTAAATGTAATATCAGATGACTCTTCAGCTTTATTGCTGCAGGAACACATTTCATGCCCCTTTGAGCAGACAGATACATGTGAGTCAGTGTAGGCAATCAGAATCACCTTATGAAAAGCGTTATTTTTTGCAATATTTTTAGAGTGCTTTAGGTTGTAACATCCATATGACACAATCTAAAATAATAGTAACAGACGTTGCTTATAATTTCTAAACATTGCAGAATTGTCACACTGCTAACAAAAGTTTTCTTGAAATCTTGACACTAAATACTGATGAAGAAAAAATAGTAATCAACATGAAAAAAATTAAATTCATTATTTCAAAACAAATTAGACAAACATTTAAAGTAACTACAGAAAAGGTCATTTGAAAATATTAAAGCCTTCATTTTAAACAAAGGCTATCTAAACAACTTGTCATTAAAGTAGTTTTGGATCACTCAAAAGATATATTTCCTTTAACACACAAGTGCTGATCTTTTAAAACAATATATTAACTGATATTTTTGTCTATGGAAACGTTTAAGGAACGTATTATTTTGTTCTAATTGATGAATAAAAAAGAAATTAAATGATGTAATTCTGATTGCCTACACATACTGTACTGTCCTGAGTATAACCACAGGTGTTCCTTAATCCTGGGCTGGATAGCTCCCTCAGAGGGAAGAAGCCTGTCCTGGCTTCAAGAGTCAAAAATTCAATGTTGTAAAGCAAGTTTGAAGCCTGACCACATGGAGAGGGAAGCGCCCAGTAGTGATTTTATATAATTATTTTTTTTTTAACTTCTTTCAATGGCTGTACTTTATTAAATATTAACTTTATTTATTTCAGGAATTGTATCCAAGCATTTTCCACATGTGACCCCTGTGACGGTGAGGGAAAAACTTGGGGACACTTTAAAATCATGAAGAGTGAACAGGACTTCAATAGATTAATATTTGAATATATATAAATTTGCCGGGTACCAAAAAAATTATAACTGAACATTGAGTGTAATATTTACCATTAAAGACTACTAACTTAAATTTTCATTTGTAGTGCATTACTATTTACTTCACTCTGACATTAAATGTTTCAGTGAGTCATGTGATCATTATTTGCTCTGTAGTATTATTATAAAGAAATTTATTAATTCTTTAAAAGGACAATATAATTGCTCTTTTCAGAATATTTCATTGGTTGTTATATTTTTGATTTTCCATGGATATTCTAGAAATTTCCAAGGTTTTTGCTCAAGTAAACCTTGGAAAATGATCTTGATGCTTTAGTAAGAATCCTCAGGGAAATAATTACAGTATTCCAGGTTTTGAGAAACTTTCCGAGGTTTTCATTTAAAAACCTTGGAAAACAAACCACGGAAACACTTTAAAAATCCTTGGAAATTGTTCCAATACTCCGAGGTCACTCATTTTACAAGGTTTTCTAAAAAAATCCTCGGAAATTATTTTACGAGGTTTTTATTCTGAAATCCTTGGAAATCGTTCCGGTAGTAATAGAATGCGAAATGGACTCCATTTCGCGAAATGAACTTTTCGACTACGAAATGGACATTTGTCTCTTTAATTTTGGTTTAAGTGTACTATTTAATATCATTTTTAAGAATGAACAAGTGATATATGACATAAAATTATTATTTAAACAATTTTGTTTATATTTTTTTCATTATTTATGCTTGCACATTTGAAAATAATCGTATAATAATGCAACATAGTTCAGTGTTTTATACATGGTCTTTCAAATAGAAAGATTCTGTTCTATATTATATCATATGTTTAACCTGGGACAAAAATATTTTTGTCGTCCCAGAATAAACGTTAGTGAATAGAAAAGATACCCTTTGTGACATGTCAGTTACACAATGATTTGTAAAGCAAATGTCCATTCCGTAAGCGAAAACTCCATTTCGTGGCCGAAAACTCCATTTTGTAGAGGCCAGATTATTTTCAGAAATATGACTATAAAATAGGAAAATAGTAATTTTAATTGGTTCAATCTGTAGTTTTATGTCATATGTTTGACATAAATTAATAAAAATAATATTACTCATCATGGTTAAACAAACAAATGTCCATTTCGTAGGCGGTAAGTTCATTTCGCGAAATGGAGTCCATTTCGCATTCTATTACAACCCGAAATCGTTCCAATACTCCGAGGTCTTACTTTTTACGAAGTTTTTTTTTAAAAAAAAAACTCAGAAATTTTTTACAAGGTTTTATACCCTCTCCCTATTTTTCCAAGGTTTTCTTTATAGCAAAGTTTTGCATTTTCTCGTTCCAATACTCCGAGGTTTTTTTCCAAGGATTTTGAGCCAAAAACCTTGGAAAATCTACACCCGGGCGTCATGTTAAAAAACCTTTGTGACCTCCCTTTGTCTTTCAATTCTTTTCATTACTCTTTAATGTTGGCTTCACTGAAAGTTTGTAGCAATTAATCAGGTTCAAATAAAAAAGGATTTACCTCTTTTTGGTACCAAAAAAAGGACCTTAACCTTTGTGTAGCAAGATTCAAAGAAGACCACCTTTTCCACACCTAGAACAATCAAGAGAAAAATATGTATGTAGCAAAGTTAAAAAGTGCAGAATCAGATCTAAAAAAGAAATTGTCACATAATGCTTTCTTTCATTTTAAGTATATATCTAAAATATTTCTTTAACAAGAGCACCCGCTAGGCGGAGCATTATATGCCCAAAAGTGTTTTTTTTTAGTAAGGATGAAGCATTTGTAAGACAATTGGGAATTAGCTGTTCATCCTATAAAATTTTACAGCTGTAGGTTGATTAATACTTAAGTTATTGAGCAGAAACTGTTTCCAGTTTTAAGGTAATAGTGACCTTGACCTTGTGACCCAAAAATCAATAGAGGTTTTCTATCCAATATGCACAACCAACCTATGAAGTTTGAATATTGTGGGTCAAATCAAACTTAAGTTATGCTCCGGAAACTGTTTTCAGGTTTAAGGTAATAGTGACCTTGACCTTTGTCCCCAAAAACAATAGGGGTCTTCTACCCAATATGGACAATCATTCTATGAACTTTGAATATTGTGGGCCAAATGGAACTTAAGTAATGCTCTGGAAACTGTTTTCAGTATTAAGGTAACAGTGACCTTGACATTTGACCTTGTGACCAAAAAATTAATAGGATTTTTCTTTCGAATATGCACAATCATCCTATGAAGTTTGAATATTGTGGGCCAAAAATGGAACTTAAGTTATGCTCTAGAAACTGTTTTCAGTATTAAAGTAAAAGTGACTTTGACCTTGTGACCCCAAAATCAGTAGGGGTCTTCTACCCAATATGGACAATCATCCTATAAGTTTGAATATTGTGTGCCAAATGGAACTTAAGTTATGCTCTGGAAACTGTTTTTGGTTTTAAGGTAATTGTGACCTTTGACCTTTATCCTAGTGACCCCAAAATCAATAGGGGTCTTCTACCCGATATAGACAATCATCGTATGAAGTTTGAATATTGTGGGCCAAATGGAACTTAAGTTATGCTTCACAAACTGTTTTCAGTATTAAGGTAATAGTGACCTTGACCTTTGATCTTGAGGCCCCAAAATCAATAGGGGTCTTCTACTCAATATGGACAATCATCCTATGAAGTTTGAATATTGTGGGCCAAATGGAACTTAAGTCATGCTCCTGAAACTGGTTTCAGTATTATTAGGGAACAGTGACCCTGACCTTTTACCTTGTGACTTCAAAATCAATAGGGGTGTTCTACCCAATATGACCAATCATCCTATGAAGTTTGAATATTGTTGGTCAAACGGAACTTAAGTTATGCTCCGGAAACTGTTTACAGTTTTTAGGTAATAGTAACCTTTGACCTTTTCACCCAAAAATCAATAGAGGTCTTCTATTCATTATGGACAATCATCCTATGAAGTTTGAATACTCACAGTGGGCCAAATGGAACTTAACCCATTACTTCATGAGCATTTTGTGAAAAATGGCTGTTTTCATTGAAAAGTCTCCCGTTACAAGTTAAATTGCTATAATACATAGAAAACTGCTTCAAATAATCAAACTTGGCACAAATGGACTAGGACGCATTGCCCTGCAACAGACAGACTGACGCCAGGGGGTATAACATAATATGTCCTTTCGGGCACATAAAAATTAAAGAAAATGATTTAACCCTTTCCTTTATATAGATGTGTTTTGACAGCTTTTCAACCCCCCACTTTTGAGGCCTCAAACGGTGATAAAATGCCCTATTTAGGCCCCAAAACACTGTTTTTTCGTTTAAGAAGTGTAGATTAAATAAGTGATCACTTTTTCAACGCTACCCCCTATCAAAAAGGTACCTCAGTGGGTTGCCAGAAGTGGGATCACGATATAGCAGACTTCCGGTGATAATCTAAGACACACACTCATTGCAGGACATCAGACATGTGCATGATATTCAAATGGAACCACTGACCACATTACCCCTTATTGCTTCGGTACTAATCATTGAAGGATTTCAGACATTTGCAGACATTCCATTTGAACCACTACAAGTTTGACATTAAATAATTCAAGGCCAACGATAAACCTAAAACCCAACATTAGTGGAGACTTGAAGGCAATGTATGAGTCAGAAAACAGATAGTTATGTATTTATCAAAATATAAAAGACAGTAACTGTTGATATTTGAGAACATCCTTGAACTTTACATTAGTAGATGATTGGGGAATCTCAAATACAAAGAAAGACATTATACATGTTTTGTTTTTTGTTTTTTTTTGCTTTAAGACACTTTACATGTATTTTTTGCTTTAAAGGACATTAAATTTTAATTAGACCTCCGCAAGTCGGATGTGTCACCTTGTGAACAATATAGTTTAGGAGAAATGGCCAGGACAAAAATGAAATATGAAAAGTTACAAAGGGCAATAACTCAAAAATAGGAAGCACAGAGCAGCAGTTTCTGTGCACTGCACTTCTTATCAATAAGATCTATCATCCTATGAAGTTTCAAGCCCATAGCTTTTAAAATTTAGAAGAAATGGCCTGGACAAAAATAAAGTATGAAAATTAATAAAGGACAATAAGTCAAAAATAAGACATGCAGAGTACCGGTTCTTGTACACTAGTAGGAGCAGTAGTTCAGTGGTAGGACGCCCGTTTAGGGATCGAGAGGTCCCGGGTTCGAACCCCACCAGGGGAACTGCTAATTTCTTTGAGCAAGAAATTTACCTGCGATTGCTTCACTTCACCCAGGTGTAAATGGGTACCTGCGAGGGTGGTATAATTCCGTTGCGCCAAAGTGTCGGCTGCACAAAGCGGAGTTAAAAGACTCCCCAGGGAGATTGATAGATAGATATCAGTAGCCCGATGACCAGGGGTAATAGCTGTAAAGTCGGTAAACGTGCGTATGCATGAAACTTAGACTATAAAATGCAATTACTTTTTTTTTTTACTGCACTTTTTTCTTAATGAGATCTATCATCCTATGAAGTTCCGTGTCCATAGCTTTTATACTTGAGGCCATCAAGACAAGAACTGTCGGATGACAGTATTGGCTCGACTGTTCGAAAAAGTTGTCACAAGGGAGTTTTAATGAGTATAATAATGCTAATTACCTATGAATACATAAAATTGACCGAAAAGGTACAAAGGCTTGTTATTTAAGGAACTCCACTGAGGTTTACAAGCCTAAAAACATAAAATTTTATTTTTTTCACATAGATAAACATGAGCATTTAAAACAGAAATATATATAAAATATAACCAAGAAATATACAAGAAATGCATTGAAAATCATATGTATGTGCTATTGTCAGTCCGATTTGAGTGAAAAGCGTTTAAACGCTTTTCAATTTTGGGTCATTTTTCACTATTATAATAATTATTCTGGAAAAACGGAGCGAGCTAATGATCTGAAATTTTGCACATAAGTTATTAGTATAGATTTACATCAAATGGAGTAATAATGTCAAAAAATTATTTCCAGTCCTGTCATGTCAAAAACCTCAGTGGAATCCCTTTAAGATGTTTTATCAAGTAAATCATTGCTTTATTATCATGAATGCATAAAATTGTCCCAAAAAAAGGCACAAACCCTTCAGTAGTTATGGAGATAACAGCTAGCTTACAAGCACAACTATACCAAGAATTTCTAAGTTGAAAAAGGGGAGAAAAATCAGCCTTAATGCAAGGTAGAATTATGGATCTTGGTCAGTGACCTACAATTATGACCCTAAATGCATATGTGAAGTTTTAAATAAATATCTTTAATAGATATTGAGATATATAAAACTTGCATGTAAACATTAACCAAGAGACTAAGTAGAAAAGGGGAGATGAATCAGCCTAAATGCAAGATAGAGTTATGGAACTTGGTCAGTGACATACAATTATGACCCTCCAATTATGACCCTAAGTACATGTGTAAAGTTTCAAGTAAATATTTTTTAAGACCATTTACCTTTAACCAAAATTTCTAAGTTTCAAAGGGGCAAATAATTCTGCAAATATTGCAGGCAGAGTTATGCAATTTTGCAAACTGATGTCGGCTACATTGTTACTATAAACAAGAGGGCCATGATGGCCCTGGATCGCTCACCTGACCCATAAACCGCATCCAAGCAATGTCTTAGACAAGCATCCTGGCCAAGTTTGATGACAACTGAGTCAAACATGTGACCTCTAGTGTGTTAAAAAGGTATTTCCATATTTGGGCAATGTGACCGAATTCTTGACCGGAGACAACCCATATTCAAACTTGACCTAGAAATCATCAAAACAACCTTCCTGACCAATTTCCAGGAAATTTGGATCAAACTGCAGCCACTAGAGTGTTAAAAAGATTTTTCTATTTTTAGCTCCGTTGACCTAGTTTTTGACCGGAGATGACCCATCTTCAAACTTGACCTAGAAATCATCAAAAGAATCTTCCTGACAAATTTCCAGAATATTTGGTTCAAAACTGCAGCCACTAGAGTGTTTACAAGCTTTTTCTATTTTTAGCTCCTGTGGCCTAGTTTTTGACCGAGATGACCAATCTTCGAACTTGACCTAGAAATCATCAGAACAACCTTCCTGACAAATTTCCAGAATATTTGGATGAAAACTGCAGCCACTAGTGTTAACAAGCTTTTTCTATTTTTAGCTCTTGTGACCTAGTTTTTGACCGGACATGACCCATCTTCGAACTTGACTTAGATATCATCAAAACAATCTTTTTGACAAATTTCCAGAATATTTGGATGAAAACTGCAGCCTCTAGAGTGTTAACAAGCTTTTTCTATTTTTAGCTCCTGTGACCTAGTTTTTGACAGGAGATGACCCATCTTTGAACTTGACCTAGAATTCATCAAAACAACCTTCCTGACAAATTTCCAGAATATTTGGATGAAAACTGCAGCCACTAGTGTTAACAAGCTTTTTCTATTTTTAGCTCTTGTGACCTAGTTTTTGACCGGACATGACCCATCTTCGAACTTGACTTAGATATCATCAAAACAATCTTTTTGACAAATTTCCAGAATATTTGGATGAAAACTGCAGCCACTAGAGTGTTAACAAGCTTTTTATATTTTTAGCTCCTGTGATCTAGTTTTTAACCTGAGATGACCCATCTTCGAACTTGACCTAGAAATCATCAAAACAACCTTCCTGACAAATTTCCAGAATATTTGGATGAAAACTGCAACCACTAGAGTGTTAACAAGCTTTTTCTATTTTTAGCTACTGTGACCTAGTTTTTGACTGGACATGACCCATCTTCAAACTTGACCTAGAAATCATCAAAACAACCTTCCTGACAAATTTCCAGAATATTTGGATGATAACTGCAGCAACTAGAGTGTTAACAAGCTTTTTCTATTTTTAGCTCCTGTGACCTAGTTTTTGCCCGGAGATGACCAATCTTCAAACTTGACCTAGAAATCATCAAAACAACCTTCCTGACAAATTTCCAGAATACTTTGATGAAAACTGCAGCCACTAGAGTGTTAAAAAGCTTTTTCTATTTTTAGCTCCTGTGACCTAGTTTTTGACCGGACATGACCCATCTTCGAACTTGACCTAGATATCATCAAAACAACTTTCCTGACAAATTTCCAGAATCTTTGGATGAAAATTGCAGGCACTAGAGTTTTAACAAGCTTTTTCTATTTTTAGCTCCTGTGACCTAGTTTTTGACCGGAGATAACCCATCTTCGAACTCGACCTGTATTTCATTGAGACAAACATTCTGACAAAGTTTGATGATGATCCAATCAAAACTATGACTGCTAGACTGTTAACAACCCAATTGTTGACGACGCACGACGATGGACGCCAGACATAGCCCCATCATTATACCTCACCTTGACCACTTCGTGGTCAGGTGAGCTAAAAAGTATTGTAAATTTTAATTGAATATCTCAAGCAATAATTGAGATACTTGACTTTACAAAAAACTTTAACCAAAATTTCTAAGTTAAAAAGGGGCATAATTCTAACAATATTGTATGCAGAGTTATCCAACTTGTCAATCTGATGTACGTTGTTACTATAAATAAGTATTGTTAGTTTCAATTGAATATCTCAAGCAGTAACTGAGATATTTGACTTTACAAAAAACTTTAACCAACTCAGACGCCGGGGTGACTACAATAGCTCTCATATTCTTTGAATAGTCGAACTAAAAAATGTTTGTTTGCAGTAACGTGACCGACTCATGAAATTTGCCCAGACTCAAACTTTTTTTTATGGTCTGGAGAAATTTTTTTTTTCTGGTCGCCGAAAATTATGCCTAATGTGCTTTCTTTTCGTTCTTTGGACAGGGCTGTCGTGGCAGGAGCCACAATGAGCAAATTGGCTCCAAAATTATTAAATTGGCTCAGGATAATCACAATTTAGCTCAAACTAACAAAAATTATGACTTTTGGAATCTCCAGTCTAAATTTAGCATTTGCTATTTTTATAATGGAAAAGTACACATTTGGTTTTCCATCTGTAACTTCCATTTTACCGCTTCTTATCTCAAAGCACAGCGATACAGTCTACTTTTTGTGGGTCGTTGACTGGTTTATATTTGAAACTTCCCTTCAGAATGAACTAGAACTATCACTAAATGTGATTAATACCCCCACAAGACTGCTTCGGAAATGAGGATGTTACTAGTAACAGAACCTTGTAAAAGAATTGAAATATAGAGTTATGGTTGTAGGCAATTAAAGATAGTTGTGGTTCTTGTATGTTGCATTTCCTTTCAATGTGGTTGGCCATTAAAGAAGTTTTATTGAATTACTCTATAATTAATCCAAAAAGACAAGGAAAAGGAACAAAGGGCAATAAGTCTATTAATACTGAAGATGGAGTTATAGTTCTTGTGCACTGCACTTTCTCTTATTGTGCTTGACCATTGTATGAAGTTGTTTTGAATTCCAACCAGTACCTTTTAAGTTATGCTCCGGACAAGGAAAAGTATCAAAGGCAGTAACTCTGTATTTTGTCAAAATGGAGTTATGGCTCTTGTGCACTGCACTTCCTTTTAATGTCCTTGACAACTGTATGAAGTTGTATTGAATTCCAAACAATAGTTTTCAATTTATGCTCTGGACAAGGAAATGTAACAAAGGGCAATAAGTCTGTAATTAGTCAAGATGGAGTTATGGTTCTTATGCACTGCACTTCCTCTCTATGTGCTTGACCATTGTATGAAGTTATACTGAATTCCAACCATAAGTCTTTAAGTTATGCTCAGCACAAAAAAAGCAATGGAAAAGTAACAAAGGGCAATAACTCTGTAATTTGTCAAGATGGAGTTATGGTTCTTGTGCACTGCACTTCCGCTTATTGTGCTTGACCATTGTATGAAGTTGTTTTGAATTCCAACCAGTAGATTTCATGTCATGCTCTGGACAAAGAATAGTAACAAAGGGCAGTAACTCTGTAATAAGTCAAGATGGAGTTATGGTTCTTGAGCACTGCAGTTCCTCTCAATGCGCTTGACCATTGTATGAAGTTATAATGAATTCCAACAATTAGTCTTCAAGTAATGGTCCGGACAAAAGAATGCAATGGAAAAGTAACAAAGGGCAATAACTGTTATTACTTTAGATAGAGTAATGGTTCTTGTACACTTAACTTCCCCTTATTGTGTTTGACAATTGTATGAAGTTGTTTTTAATTCCAACCAGTAGTTTTCAAATTATGCCCCGGACAAGGAAAAGTAACAAAGGGCAATAACTCTGTAATCAGTCAAGATAGTGTTATGGTTCTTGTGCTCAATGTGCTTTACCATTGTATGTAGTTATATTGAATTCCAACCATTAGTCTTCAAGTTATGCTCCTGACAAGGAAAATGCAACGGACGTCTGGAACGACCGACCGACCAACCAACCGACCACCGGGTGACTCCTATATACCCCCCCAAACTTTGTTTTTGGGGGTATAAATATCGATATGAACAGTAACACAGTCTATAATACACTGACCTTGCAGTATGTTTAGGTAGCACTCCACACTAAATTTCAAGTTTCTGCCGTCAATGTCCTACAAGCAATATGTCTGATAAATCTGATCCCAAACTACACAACCTGGAAAAAGAAAACACATTTTGTTAAGAACATATATGTCATAACATTGCAAATCTGTAATGAAATTATCCCATGTGCAACAGTCAGGCAGTGAAAACTAAAAATGTGTCCATAGGACACGGATGCCCCCACACGCCACTGTTCTGTCAATCTTATGACTCTAGGTCAAATATTTTTTGGACTACATGTGCCACAAGTTGAAAACTAAAAATCAACAAAGGGCCATAATTTTTTTAAATTTGGTCGCAGCAAAAATTCCTTCCTTTACTACCATCTACACATTAAGGTTGTTAATCCCTGGAAGTTTAAGCAAAATCTGCCATCCGGTTTAAGAGGAGTTGCGTTCACAAAATTTCTACATAGTATATAATGAAAAAATCAAAAAAGGGCCATAATTCTGTTAAATTTGGTTGCAGCAAAAATTTCTTCCTTTACTACCATCTACACATTAAGGTTGTTCATCCCTGGAAGTTTAAGCAAAATCTGCCATCCTGTTTAAGAGGAGTTGCATTCACAAAATTTCTACATAGTATATAGTGAAAAAATCAACAAAGGGCCATAATTCTATTAAATTTGGTCGCAGCAAAAATTCCTTCCTTTACTACCATCTACACATTAAGGTTGTTAATCCCTGGAAGTTTAAGCAAAATCTGCCATCCGGTTTAAGAGGAGTTGCGTTCACAAAATTTCTACATAGTATATAATGAAAAAATCAAAAAAGGGCCATAATTCTGTTAAATTTGGTTGCAGCAAAAATTTCTTCCTTAACTACCATCTACACATTAAGGTTGTTCATCCCTGGAAGTTATCTGCCATCCTGTTTAAGAGGAGTTGCATTCACAAAATTTCTACATAGTATATAGTGAAAAAATCAACAAAGGGCCATAATTCTGTAAAATTTGGTCGCAGCGAAAATTCCTTCCTTTACTACCATCTACACATTAAGGTTGTTCATCCCTGTAAGTTTAAGCAAAATCTGCCATCCGGTTTAAGAGGAGTTGCGTTCACAAAATTTCTACATAGAATATAGTGAAAAAATCAACAAAGGGCCATAATTCTGTTAAATTTGGTCGCAGCAAAAATTCCTTCCTTTACTACCATCTACACATTAAGGTTGTTCATCCCTGTAAGTTTAAGCAAAATCTGCCATCCGGTTTAAGGTGGAGTTGCGTTCACAAAATTTCTACATAGTATCTAGTGAAAACATCAACAAAGGGCCATAATTCTGTAAAATTTGGTCGCAGCGAAAATTCCTTCCTTTACTACCATCTACACATTAAGGTTGTTCATCCCTGTAAGTTTAAGCAAAATCTGCCATCCGGTTTAAGGTATGATCCACCTAATGCATTACCTCCACTTTGAAGAGTATTCAAATAGGCTAAAACTACTGTCAACTGCATTGTAACTGAGGGGCGCGGGTTCAAGCCCCAGAAGAGGCAACTTTTTTTTCTTTCTTTTTTTTTTCTTTGAACATTATTTGTTTCTCTCAGATCACTCTTGAAAAGAAAAAAGTGTTTCATTTTAATTATAAAATTATTATTGGTATTTATTGGCTAAATTGTGCCAAATTTATTATCCAATATGATCCTGATATTTTCAAAGTCTAATAAAATAAAAACTAGACGGTAAAAGTATTTTATATTTGACAAGCTCAACCAATATACTTTTAAGAAAATTATTGCAAACTTTGAAAGCAGCCCCTGATTTGAGTAAATTTTAAGGATATTTTGAATAAGGCCCTCCAACTTGAAAAATGATCAAACAACTACTTAAAATGGGTGGGGTAGGGTAACATTTATATACATATTTCAAACATTTTGAGTAGAAACAATAGTTTTGCTGGGTCATTTGTTAGCTGAATGCTATCATTTGTTTCTTAAAAATGTTTTATAGGAAAACATTTCTTCATAATGATTATAAAATAAAATATTTCAAGTTACTCATTTCTGAAAAGGAGCCCTTCTAATAGCCAACTTTTATTTAAGAAAAATCTCCATAACTCGTAAACCATACGGTAAACTTTGTTTAAATTTTGCATTCTTGTGTCTTTTAAGGTATATAAAGGACCTATGTTGTCAATTTTATAGTTCCTTATAGTGCCCACAAGATTTCGGGACGGACGGACGGACAAGTGCAACGCTATATGCTCCCACATTGTGGGGGCATAAAAATCCAATTCATTCCGTAAAAGCCAAAAATCTGTAGTGGTCCATGACCCAAAACAACATTTTTCGTCCCTCCGGCAAAAAATACCTGCAAATATACCGGCTACAGAAACTCTGTCACTGCTTTAGCAACTCCCTATACAAGGCAAATATCACAAAGAAATAGGTGCTTGGCCTTGTAGATTTTTTTGCTATAGCTGAAAGTTTGTACCCCCCGGTAAAATTACTTGTTTTCACCGAGCATGCTGTTTACAAGCAATGGCGGCCTTGACAGCTATAATTATCAGCATGGGATTTCTAACCATGTTTTCGAATTTGCCAATGATCATATTACATGTCACAAAAACAAATTTCATGTTGAAAATGCATTTTAAAGACAACCAGTCATTTAAATCCACAATAGTCACTATATCCATGAAATCCTCCCTGGCCATTCGAAGCTGTGGCTTCATTTAGTGTGGTGTGCTGCCTAACATTTTTATCAGCTGATAAATGACACTAATTGGCGTGAAAATACATGGCAGATTGTTGAGTATGCAATGGATAATTGGTCTTAATATTCAATATGAAACAATAAATAGCGGCATCTCAAGATTATCGCTAATCAAATCAGCGGTTTGGGTATGAAATAGCAACAAAATTATTTATGTTCTGCAGTTGATAACTTGAAGTAAGTTTACAAATTATTTTTATTGTTGTTGATCATAAACAGATTAAAGGAATTATAGGAATTATGAGTTATAGAGTGAAGGTTGTTGTGTGTGTGGGGGGGGGGGGGATTTTGCCAAATAAATCTGACCTAATTATGGCTCCAAAAACATACAATTGACAAGGAATTTATTATGACATTAGAAGCTTTACAGAGAATTCCTGCAAAAAATAAGATTGACCTTAAAACCAAATTATAGTTTTGTTTAAAGCTCTCACAGAAGCAAATGTCATATGACTGTGAAATATTAAAGAAAGATTCAGCCAAGAAGCATAAAACTAGAAATGTGTCCATAGGACACGGGTGCCCCCACCGCGCCACTGTTCTGTCAATCTTTTTACTAAGTCAAGGAAAATAACTCTACAAATACTGGATAAATCCACAAGCGAAACCCCAGGTGCAAATCTAAATATGCTGAGCAACCTGCCCATAAAGTTTAATGACTATGTGAAATCCTTTTTGAGTAACTTGCGACACAAGTTGAAAATTGCAAATATTTTTTAAGTGAAGGGCAATAACTCTAAAAATACTAAATAAATCCAGACAAAAATACCTGGTGCACAACTGCACGTCATGCTGATCAATATTCCTGTAAAGTTACATGACTCTAGGTCAAATACTTTTTGAGTTACGTGCGTCACATGTTGAAAATTGCAAAATTTTACTAAGTCAAGGGCAATAACTCTGAAAATACTAAAAATATCCAGACGAAAATACCCAGGTGCACAACGACACATGCTAATCAGCATTCCTGTAAAGTTTCATGACTCTAGGTCAAATACTTTTTGAGTTATGTGCGACACAAGTTGAAAATTGCAAAATTTTACTAAGTCAAGGGCAATAACTCTGAAAATACTAAAAATATCCTGACGAAAATACCCAGGTGCACAACTACACATGCTGATCAACATTCCTGTAAAGTTTCATGACTCTAGGTCAAATACTTTTTGAGTTACGTGCAACACAAAAGTGAACGGACGGACGGACAGAAGGAATCTCCCGGGTGTAGATTTTCCGAGGTTTATGAAAAAAACCATGGAAACTGCTTCAAAAACCTTGGAAATAAACCAGTTTTACAAGGTTTTTTCTTAATTCCGAGGTTTTTTTTAAAACCTTGGAAACTTTATCCAAGGTTTTTGTATAAAAATCCTTGGAAATAAAGAAAACCTTGGAAACTATCTCGGAATTAAACACTCTGCCAAAAATCAGCTCGGAAAAAGCTTGGAAATAAGAACTTTGTCATTTTTTTGCTCGGAAAAGAACTTAGAAAATTTACGTAAAATTTGTTGGAAACACTTTGCCAATATTTAGCTTGGAAATGACCTCGGATAATTGAACTTAACTATATTTCATCTCGGAAAATGTTAAGACATAATCATGATTTAACTTATAATGGGCATCAAAAGCAATAATTATAATCAACAGTTAAAGCAAACTAAGATAACAACCCAACTGTAGATTGCCAATGGATATTTCTTAATCCATGGTCAGAGCAAACAATTGTCCAACAGCATGGAAAAGAGAGATTTGGTCCAGGGAATCAATTTTTTGTATGGACATTGTCAATGGCCAACTTCCTTTTCAATAAATTTGTACTTTAATCATCTAAGGCCATTTTTGTGGGAGGAATCAATTAAAAAAATTTAAGTGTGAAAACATGGAAAAGTTAAATACAATGTAAATTCCTTGTTGCCATAAAAAACCTTTCATTAATGGCTATAAAGGTATTGTAACTAATCATAATAAGATAAAGATTATTCAAATAACTGATGATCAGAAAGACTTGAAAAAAATTTTTTTTATTTTCATATTTTTTTTTATTATTTATAATTATTGTTACTAGATATCTTCTCCATTTTAAAAAATAGATAAAAGAGCAAAACTTATAATTATACAAAAAGAAACAATCAGTGTTTATGTCTATTAGTTTCTAAATGCATCAGTATTTTTCCTGCAGTTTCTTTCTATATATAGACTTAACTTAGGGTTTCTTGACAGCCTGTAAGCAACACTGAAATAAGAATGCTATTAATCTTTAATATATGTTTTTATGCCATATAAAATAGTATATTCTACTAAGCAAGTGTGTGACATACATTCAGATTACAATTTACTCTGCCATTAATTATGTGTACAATAAACATAAATAGTTATTAATTGTCCTTTTAATATATAATTATGTACAATTAATGTGTAAAATATGTATGCTTGATACTTTCTTATAATTAAGATAAATAAATACTGCATCCACTAAGTTTTCACACACAGAATATAACACACTGATCAGATAAAACTAATGGCACCCCAGGTGGTTCCCTCTTATAATCTTATGCATGATCAATCTTCTCATTGAGCATTCTGGGATAGACCAGATTGTTCCATGTGATTATTCAGGGGGAGTCTGGGTTTTTATACAATCCAAAACAGTCTAAAATGACACTGCAACTGTGATTCTCTTATAATTTTCAAGTTTTACTTTTATTTATCATTTGATATATTTGTACCTTCAATAAAATTAATGTAAAAATAAAATGATGATGGCTTTGATATTTTGGGATCACCCCTGTTTCACATTATGATTGCCCCTTCAGTTATACTGTTGAAAAATTTGAATCTCAGACATTAATGGGTCAAGTGGTTATAGTTGGAAGTAGTGCAAACCTGGATTTATTTTAAGCAATTTTGGACATATATTGTTTTAAATGTTAGGGAGCATATTTTGGAATTTTCAAAGAAAACATTTATCTAAGTGTGACAAGATTCAGGAAATGTTTGGTTGTTGTAATTGAACCTAAAGATCAATGACCTGGGACAGGAAGATAAACAAAAGAAACATGATAGTAAAAAGGTTCAGGTAAATAATTTTAGATACATTTATGCATAAAATCTGTTGTTGTTTTTTTTTTCAAATAAGTATTAAATACAAACTATTTTAGATCTATATTTTTAACCTAAATGTAAGCTAGTTTAAATACAATTGTTTAGAGGATATTTTAAGAGTATTAATGTTATTTTTGTCTATGATTGTATTGAACAAGATGAGTGCATGAAACTATGATGACATTATTTATAAACTTTCATCTTTCATCTATTATTTGAATCTACAAATTTTTAATTACAGAGTCAGCTTGTAAGCAAGTTTGCAAGACTGTTCCAAACTACAAGAAGATGGCAATCCAGCTTTGCTGTGTTTTATCATAGTATATCATTGGCATCCAGGCATCGATTAAGGAAGCCAACTGTAGACCAGGAAAGGCTTCAAGGAATATACTACAGTATGTTTTTGTTTTAAAACTAGGTTTTGAAAGTTTCAATTTGAAATTTGAATGAATGAAGGTTTCTGGAACTGATTTTTTTATTGATACTTTGTTGGATATGCTGTTAATGTTACATGATGACTCTCCAGCTTTATTGATGCAGATGTCACTTTGAACAGACAGATAAAATTAGTGTAGGCAATCGGAATCACCTTATGAAAAGCGTTATTTTTTGCAATATTTTTAGAGTGCTTTAGGTTGTAACATCCAGTATGACACTATCTAAAATAATAGTAACAGACATCGTTTCTTTTCTTAACATCGCAGAATTGTCACACTGCTTACCAAAGTTTTCTTGAAATCCTGACACTAAGTACTGATGAAGAAAATAAGAAATCAACATGAAAAAAATTAAATTCACTATTTCAAAACAGTAGACCAATATTTAAAAGTAACTACAGAAAAGGTCATTTGAAAATATTAAAGCCTTCATTTTAATCAATGGTCTTGAACAACTTGTAATTCAAGTAGTTTTGGATCACTCAAAAGATGTATTTCTTTTCACAAAAGTGCTGATTTTTTAAAACAATATATATCAACAGTGAACTGATATTTTTGTCTATGGAAACGTTTAAGGAATGTATCATTTTTTGTGTCGCCTCTACGGAGTAGTGGCGACATATAGGGATCACTTCTCCGTCGTCTGTCTGTCCGTCCGTCCGTCACAAAACTTGTCCGGACTACCCCTCATAAACTACTGGTGCAATTTCATCCAAACTTTACAGGAATGATCAGTATCAAGTCTAGTTGTGCATATTGTCAGCATTTTCCGGTTCAATGATTTTTGTCAGAGTTATGGCCCTTTAATAATTTTTAATTTTAAAGTTTGTCCGGACTACTTCTCTTATACCACTAATGCAATTTCAATGAAACTTTACAGGATTGATCTGTAGCTCAAGTCCTTGCGCATATTGCAAGGGTTTTCTGGTTGAATGATTTTTGGCCGAGTTATGGCCCTTTGATAAAAAGGTGTTTTTTTCTGTGTGTTGCCAGATACACAATAGCTTGTCCGGACTACTCCTCATAAGCTACTGGTGCAATTATATCCAAACTTTACATGATTGATCAGTACCAAGTCTAGTTGTGCACTGTCCGTCTGTCTGTCCGTCTGTCACAAAATTTGTCCCAACATGAAATTGGCCATTATGAGGCGACACATGTGATTACTGATCGCTCTTGTTTTATTGATTAATAAAAAAGAAATTAAATGATGTAATTCTGATTGCCTACACATACTGAACTGTCCTGAGTATAACCACAGGTGTTCCTTAATCCTGGGCTGGATAGCTCCCTCAGAGGGAAGAAGCCCATCCTGGCTTCAGGAGTCAAAAATACAATGTTGTAAGGCAAGTTGTTTGAAGTCTTTGATCCTGACCACATGGAGAGGGAAGCGCCCAATGGAGAGGGAAGCGCCCAGTGGTGATTTTATATAATTGTTTTTCTAACTTCTTTCAATGGCTGTACTTTATTAAATGTTTACTTTATTTATTTCAGGAATTGTATCCTGGAGCATTTTCCACATGTGACCCCTGTGATGGTGAGGGAAAAACTAAGGGACATTTAAAATCATGAAGAGTGAACAGGAATTCAAAAGATAGATATTTGAATACATTAAAATTTAACCGGATACCAAAATATTATAACTGAACATTGAGTGTAATATTTACCATTAAAGACTTCTAACTTAACTTTTCATTTGTAGTGCATTTACTATTTACTTCACACTGACATTAAATGTTTCAGTGAGTCATGTGATCATTTTTTGCTCTGTATTATTACAAAGAAGTTTCTTAATTCCTTAAAAGGACAATATAATTGCTCTTTTCAGAAAATTTCATTGGATGTTATATTTTCTGATTTTCCATGGATATTCTAGAAATTTCCAAGGTTTTTTTTGCTCAAATAAACTTTGGAAAATTCTCTGATGCCCTTAAGTAAGAATCCTCGAAAATATAACAGTATTCCCAGTTGTGAGAAACTTTCCGAGGTTTTCATTTAAAAACCTTGGAAAACAAACCACGGAAACACTTTAAAAATCCTTGGAAATCGTTCCAATACTCCGAGGTCACTCATTTTCCAAGGTTTTCTAAACAAAATCCTCGGAAATTATTTTACGAGGTTTTTATTCTGAAATCCTTGGAAATCGTTCCAATACTCCGAGGTCATACTTTTTACGAGGTTTTTTTTTAAAAAAACTCGGAAATTTTTTACAAGGTTTTTCACCCTCTCCCTATTTTTCCAAGGTTTTTTTAATAGCAAAGTTTTGCATTTTCTTGTTCCAATACTCCGAGGTTTTTTTCCAAGGATTTTGAGCCAAAAACCTTGGAAAATCTACACCCGGGAATTGGACGCACTCACAGGACAGTAATTATGTGGCTAGAGGGACAATAGGTAACTGTTCTTTCTCTTTGATGTCATTCATTCCGTAATGCTTTTATGTGGCCATTTTCTTTTGTGTGGCTAAAAAGAACAGTAGAGAGAACAATAGAGTAGCCATTTATACTCAATCTAATTAAAACCACGAAACAAGTGATAGACTTATTAATCTTTATTTTTGGCATAACTGGCTAAGAAACATCAGACCAAATGAATGATTATATGATAAATATAACTAAAACTGGAAATAAGACATAAAACATGTTAAAACCATTAAGTCTGGTGTAGTCCGAGCCAGTATGCCTCCTTCTTTCTTGGTATTGGCTTACGAGCCTAATCCCCATGAGAGGCATACTGACAAGATCTTAACCAGAAGGCATTGCTCTTCAGGGTGAGAGGCGGGGATGGATGGTGGTGTAAAATTATTTTTCTAAATTAATGTGATGTGAACAAAGAGCGCTGTGGAAATCGAGAGGCTGCATACGTATTGCTGCTGGTGCGGGTCCTACTTTGTTGATAAGGGAGCTGTGAATTTAGTCACATGGTATTAGAAACCGGATATAGGTAAAGTACCGACGATGTAAACATCAAATCGAAAGTAGAATTAATTTAGATCTTGCATAAACTGCGTTTACTACGTAAACTTCAATTTATACTCAATCAAATTAAAACCACGAAACAAGTGATAGACTTATAAATCTTTATTTTTGGCATAACTGGCTAAGAAACATCAGACCAAATGAATGATTATATGATAAATATAACTAAAACTGGAAATAAGACATAAAACATGTTAAAACCATTAAGTCTGGTGTAGTCCGAGCCAGTATGCCTCCTTCTTTCTTGGTATTGGCTTACGAGCCTAATCCCCAAAAGAACATGGATGATAGCAAAGTGTTTGCAACCATCCAGTGTTTATGCCCAAGAAAGAAGGGTACCTTGAAGAGCAATACAGTATTTGTTAGCATAAGTACTGAAATATTCAATAAAATAACATTTGTACATGTATATATTCAACAGAATTACCAATTATGACACTTAAGTGTGATAATGAAACATTAAATTATAGAGGGTTAAATATGTCATGTGAAATACTTAATTTCAATTTATTATATAAGCAGACTTTAGCAAAAAATGTGCCTTTAAAGCAGACACCTATAGGTAGATAGCAGACTTGAGGTAAAATATTGCCTACGATAGCAGACATATACATGGATAGTCTACGATAGCAGACTTGAGATAAAATAGTGCCTACGATAGCAGGCATCTAACAGGAATAGTCTACGATAGCAGACTTGAGATAAAATAGTGCCTACGATAGCAGGCATCTAACAGGAATAGTCTACGATAGCAGACTTGAGATAAAATTGTGCCTACGATAGCAGGCATCTAACGGTTAATAGTCTACGATAGCAGAATTGAGATAAAATAGTGCCTACGATAGCAGGCATCTAACAGTTAATAGTCTACGATAGCAGACTTGAGATAAATAGTGCGTACGATAGCAGGCATCTTACAGGAATAGTCTACAATAGCAGACTTGAGTTAAAATAGTGCGTACGATAGCAGGCATCTAACAGGAATAGTCTACGATAGCAGACTTGAGATAAAATAGTGCCTACGATAGCAGGCATCTAACAGGAATAGTCTACGATAGCAGACTTGAGATAAAATAGTGCCTACGATAGCAGGCATCTAACAGGAATAGTCTACGATAGCAGACTTGAAATAAAATAGTGCATACGATAGCAGGCATCTAACATGGAATAGTCTACGATAGCAGACTTGAGCTAAAATAGTTCCTACGATAGCAGACATATAACAGGAATAGTCTACGATAGCAGACTTTATTTAGATAACAAGAGGGCCATGATGGCCCTGAGGTCGCTCACCTGTATATAGGCCCCCAACCCCCATCCCCCCCCCAACGTTGCAGGGCCAATTTAACCCAAGGGCTTTTATTTGCACAAACTTGGTAGACACCCATAAGAAGATGTTTCATGCTAAACATCTAAGCTCTAGCTCATTGGGCTTTTTAAAAATACACATATAGTTAAAACCAATGACACCCCTGGGGCCGGGTCAGTTTTGACCCCAGCGCTTTTATTTGAACAAACTTTGTAGACACTAATACTAGAAGATGTTTCATGCTTAATATCTAAACTCTAGCTATTTGGGTTTTTTCAAAGAAGATTTTTTAAGTTTTTACTACATGCATATAGGGAAAATCAATGACCCCCTGGGGCGGGGCCAATTTTGACCCCAGGGCTTTTATTTGAACAAAATTGGTAGACACTCACAAGAAGATGTTTCATGCTTAATATCTAAACTCTAGCTATTTGGTTTTTTTCAAAGAAGATTTTTTAAGTTTTTACTATATGCATATAGGGTAAATCAATGACACCCTGGGGCGGGGCCAATTTTGACCCCAGGGCTTTTATTTGAACAAACTTGGTAGACACCTATTAGAACATGTTTGATGCTCAATATCTTAGCCATAGCTCTTTGAGTTCTTTAAAAGAAGATTTTTTAAGTTTTTACTATATGCATATAGGGAAAATCAATGACACCCTGGGGCGGGGCCAATTTTGACCCCAGGGCTTTTATTTGAACAAACTTGGTAGACACTCATTAGAAGATGTTTCATGCTAAATATCTTAGCTCTAGCTCTTTGGGTTCTTTAAAAGAAGATTTTTTAAGTTTTTACTATATGCATATAGGGAAAATCAAAGACCCCCTGGGGCGGGCCAATTTTGACCCCTGGGCTTTTATTTGAACAAACTTGGTAGACACTCACTAGAAAATGTTTCATGCTAAATATCTTAACTCTAACTCTTTTGGTTCTTTAAAAGAAGATTTTTTAAGTTTTTACTATATGCATATAGGGAAAATCAATGACCCCCTGGGGCGGGGCCAATTTTGACCCCAGGGCTTTTATTTGAACAAACTTGGTAGACACCTATTAGAACATGTTTGATGCTCAATATCTTAGCCATAGCTCTTTGAGTTCTTTAAAATAAGATTTTTTAAGTTTTTACTATATGCATATAGGGAAAATCAATGACCCCCCGGGGCGGGGCCAATTTTGACCCCAGGGCTTTTATTTGAACAAACTTGGTAGACACCCATTAGAACATGTTTCATGCTAAATATCTTAGCTCTAGCTCTTTGGGTTCTTTAAAAGAAGATTTTTTAAGTTTTTACTATATGCATATAGGGAAAATCAATGACCCCCCGGGGCGGGGCCAATTTTGACCCCAGGGCTTTTATTTGAACAAACTTGGTAGACACTCACTAGAAGATGTTTCATGCCAAATATCTAAGCTCTAGCTCTAATGATTTTTTAAAAGAAGATATTTAAAGTTTTTTCTTTCGGTTGCCATGGCAACCAGAGTTCTGCATGGAATTAAATTCTTTGAACAATTTTTAAAGGTGACCACCAAAGGAACATTCCTGTGAAGTTTGGATGAAATTGGCTTAGTGGTTTATGAGAAGATGTCATTTAAAGTAAAAGTTTACGGACGGACGCCGGACGGCCGGACGCCGGACAAAAAGCGATCACAAAAGCTCACCCTGTCTTTTTGTGACAGGTGAGCTAAAAATAGTGCCTACGATAGCAGGCATCTAACAGGAATAGTCTACGATAGCAGACTTGAGATAAAATAGTGCCTACGATAGCAGGCATCTAACAGGAATAGTCTACGATAGCAGACTTGAGATAAAATAGTGCCTACGATAGCAGGCATCTAACAGGAATAGTCTACGATAGCAGACTTGAGATAAAATAGTGCCTACGATAGCAGGCATCTAACAGGAATAGTCTACGATAGCAGACTTTAGATAAAAATAGTGCCTACGATAGCAGGCATCTAACAGGAATATTATAGCAGACTCGAGATAGAATAGTGCCTACGGTAGCAGGCATCTAACAGGAATAGTGTACGATAGCAGACTTGACAAAACTATAGCGCCTACGATAGCAGACGTCTAAAGGAGTCCTCAATAGCAGATTATAGATAAAATGGCGCCTACGATAGCAGGCATCTTATAGCGAGAATTTATGATAGCAGACTTGAGATAAATAATGCCTACGATAGCAGGCATGTCATCGGAAGTCCTCTGGAATAGTAGACCTCATATCACTTGTTTGATGATAGCAACATAAAACGGGCAGGCGTGTTTACAGTAGTAGACCATACATGATAAATAACATCTAAGGATGTGTGACAGCAGTACCAGAAATAAAAAGTATATGATAATAACAGTTAGATAGTTCACCATAACAGATTTCATAAACATCAGATCTTATAAAATGCATGTTTTAATACTAAACTGTAATTGATACTGATAGGAACAACATGATTTTAAGCAGTATAATCTTTACAACATGATAAGAATTATAAATTTTACAACATAATAGAGCATTCTTTCACAAAATGTCTTTAAAACAAATCTTAAAACAATGAAAAATTGCTTGCTTGCATTTGATACATTGGATATCGAACAATATTATATACAAATGTACATGAAAATTAAGCAAACATGTGAGATTTCTATAAACATGACTTTTTTCAGAACATAGTATTCCTGATAGCAGAAAGTATTTTGGGTAACATGATAAACACATTTTAATATGAACAATGTTTAAATGCTATAAAAGACAACAATGGTAAAATCATTGATACACTATCATTTCTAGAAATTATTTACATATGTACATGAAATATCCTTAAATTGTGGCTGCATTTTAAGAGTAAAATGAAACATAGGATTAAATCCTTCTTTAACTGTGATACAACCGATCATTGTATGATTGTTATATGGCTGACATGGCTATTTGTGCATCTTTTATTGTATTCTTATCAGTGTGAATATATGTTGTATAACAGTCAGAAGACCAACGGCCTAGTGTTTTAATCAGATGGTCTTCTATTCTCAATTTAGCACAAGTTGTAGCTGCACCTATTCGAAAACTGTGACCATTGTATTTAGAATCATCCAAACCAATAATCTTTAGAACTGATTTTAAATCTTTTATGAATTTTGTTCTTGTCAAAGGCAGACCTTCTTTATTCACGAAAAAAGCGTTAGAGCTAGATGACTTCCTCTGTTGTAAATAATTTTTTACGGCATTAATTGGACATACAAAATTATTTGTAGCATAAATTGTAATTTCAATTCCCTGTCTAAAAGGGTCAGTTTTTGAATGATTTAGATGTAATAATAAATGATCTTCCCTGAGTTTAATGTCATCTAGCTGTAGAGTATTGTGATTATCAACAACTTTTTCATTAATGGTGAATTCGCCGCAACGTAAAAACCCAAAAAAAAGCAACTATACAACAACATGTCATTAATACATCATCATAAGTACCAAAACATCCACTTCTAAGACATTTTATGATCTTTTCTAACAAGGCAATATCAATAGGTAATCTTTGGCGCTTATCATTGCTTTGCAATCTCTTGACAGAATTTAAAAAGGTGTATACTTTAGTGCTTGTTAATTTTGATTCTAAGGGTGAATCTTTGCCATTTTTTATATAAAAGAAACGTATGCCACACAAATACAACTTGATGGTTTTATACTTTAGGTTTAGAGAATGGTGACAATATGCTATAAAAGATATTAATAAATCGTTTGTCACTGGTGGTAAGCTGTCACACTTATATGTCACTGACTGTTTTGAAAGAAATGTTTTGTAACTGTCCATGCCTGTAGTGTACACTTTGCATGTGTTTTTGCTCAATGCAGAGTCCCACATTTCCTCCACTAAGGTGTTTAGGTTTAACTCCACATTACGTCTGTAATTGCTGGGCATATTTCTGGCTCCTGATTTGCTAGCGGTGCTGCTGCTCGAAAGCGATCCATCTGAAATCGAGAAAGAGAGTCAGCGATAACATTTTGTTTCCCAGCAATATGTCGTGACTTGAAAGTGAAGTTATTTACAGCGGCTATCCATGTCAAGTTTCTCATTAATTTCATAATATACAAGCATTTTGAGCGCCCTTTATTTAAAATATTAACGGTTCCTTCATTGTCACAAAGGAACAATAGTTTTTTACATTTCCAAGAATGGCCCCATGTCACAGCAGCGGCTACGATAGGATAAAGTTCTCGAAAAGCCATGGAAGCGTCTTTTGGAATTTCTGTAGGCCATGTGCTACAAAACCATTTGTTCTCAAAAAATGCTGAGAAACCGAGGGTAGAACTAGCGTCAGTATATAGTTGCATGTCTTCTGTAGAAGTCACTCTGTCTTCATAGAACATGGAGACACCATTCCAGTTTTTAAGAAATTTTAACCACATTAAAAGATCATCTTTACAATTCTTGTTTAAATGAACAAAATGATGCAATTCTTTAACTGTTGTGGAAAGGTTAATCAAATACGACACAAAACTTCGACCAGGCATTATAACTCTTGATGCAAATTGAAAATGACCCAAGAGCTGCAGAAGATTTCTTTTTGTACATGACTTTTTGTTGAGAAGTGTACTAATAAACTCAATGATTCTGTCAATTTTATCCTTTGGCAGTCTTGCTTCCATTTTTGAAGAATCGAGAATAACGCCTAAATACTCCAGACATGTTGTAGGTCCAACGGTTTTCGATGGTGAAATGGGAACCTTAAGCTTGTTGAAAATATGGGTTAGAAGTGCCATGGTTCTATCGCCATTAGAATGGGCATCTTGCACAGTAAGAAAATCATCCAACAAATGAAAAATTACACTTATTTTGTAGTTATTTCTTGCAATCCAACAAATAGCGATTGATAAGTTATCGAAAATTTTTGGCGAGGAACGACTTCCAAACACTAAACGCGTGTACACATAATATTTTCCTCTCCATTTTATCATGAAATATGGCATCTGTTCTGGTTTAATAGGTAGGAGTTTGAACGCATTTGTTATGTCAGTCTTACACAAGATTGCACCCTGTCCTATTTTTTGAATAGATGAGACTGCATCATCAATTTTCACATATGAAAGACTGCACTGATCTTTATCTATTAAATCATTTATACTCAAGTGACTTTTATCATTATGGGGTGATGATAAATCTACTATTAATCTTTTCTTGCCGGAATATTTTCTTTCTGCTATCCCAATCGGTGATACCCTGTAATGTTCGAAGGGGGGAGTTTCAAAAGGGCCTTGTAAAAAATTGTTATCTAGTTCTGAACTTAAAAGTTTATCCACTTCTTTTGGCTGTTTCAAGGCAGACTGTAAATTTTTGCAGATCTTATTGTCGCGCGGATAAGGTGTAAGCATAGTGTCAAATCCTTCTTCTAAACCATCACATAAATATTTGACAAAGTTTTGGTTTGGATGACCCTGTAGTTCTTCCTTTAAGTTTTTAATGTTAATTGGTGTAGATGCTTGAAAAAGTAGTCAGTCTGTTTTCTGTGAAGTTTGTAAGTATTTTCTGTTATCGAATTTCTGGCAAGACGTTTTTGAATGGCTGTCAGTTTTGCAAATTAAGCAAATGTGTAGTCTGGGGCAGCCTCGTCTAGAGCAGCCCTTTTCGTTGTTGAAGTTGTTACAGATCTCCGTTCCTCTGTGGGTTACAATACGTCTGCCGAATTTGTCTTCATTGTTTCCTTTAAAGGGGAGTTGCGATGACCTTGTTGTTGAATATGTTCTAGCACAAAAATCCGAATCATGAAGTACTGACTGGCAGTGAAAACATTGTTTAGCCCGGGTGCCTCCAAGTATCAGTTGAAAGTTTTCTGTGTCACGGATAGCCCAGTTGATTGGTATGCCATGCCTGACTGCTTCCGCGGCTTTACTTGAAAAAGCCAGGTGGTAATCGTAGAATTTTTCCCCATAAAAGGCATGAATTCGGCCAATATCAATTTCATACTCATCGAGCTCATTCTTCCTGTGAGGCCATCTTTGACACATGATTCTCTTGTATTTCCCGAAGGCAGTCCTAAACTGTTCGATGTTTAGTCTTTTCTTTAGCCTGGAGTCATTTTTGTAGGTGTTATTGTCAAGGTCGAAGCCTGGAATCAATAAAGAAGCCAAATTTACGTCTCTTCCGGTCTCTATTTGTTTTTTCAAAGATTCTGCAACAATATCTAAGTTGCCGACTTGGCTTGCTGCTATTCCATTAGGGGACTGATAAGCTAATTTTTTAATTTCATCTAGATGCTGATGTTGTAAATATGTTTCGGAAGATTTACCTTTGTAGATATCCATCAAAGTACCATTGTTTGCCGACTCCTTTTGTGGTTCTGACAGCCCCGATCCTCTGGCTTCTGATAAAGCCTTCACTGTTTCAGTAAAGGCCGACATTGTGTTGTTCAGAGTCGAAATGCATAAACTCATGTCTATGTCGCTTGCTTGCCGACGTAATGGTGATCGAGATCGTTCTCTTTTTCTTTCTGTGTCGATGCTAGGTCCCGAAGATTCATTTGTTTTTTCTTTATGAGCATTTTCTTTGTAAAGTGCTTTCAAAGTACTTTTGTTCATGGATGCTGGAACATTAATTCCTAAACTAATTAAATGTTCTCTGAATTCTTTTACGCCCCAGTTGTCTGGCGATGACATATCAAAAGATTTTCTCCGGGATGTTCTGGTATTCGACGCCATTTTTCTTTGTCCGATTTTTAATTGAGAATCACTTTCCAAAAGTTTAATAAACGTCAGTAAATAGTAATAAATCCTGAACAAGAACGGCACTATACGGAATTTAGGCTGTCAATGTTTATATTTCCGTTGTTTTTTATAGTAAAATATGTCGATTAAACACGTTATTTGTAAAATTATTTTTCTAAATTAATGTGTGTGTGAACAAAGAGCGCTGTGGAAATCGAGAGGCTGCATACGTATTGCTGCTGATGCGGGTCCTACTTTGTTGATAAGGGAGCTGAATTTAGTCACGTGGTATTAGAAACCGGATATAGGTCAAGTACCGACGATGTAAACATCAAATCGAAAGTAGAATTAATTTAGATCTTGCATAAACCGTGTTTACTACGTAAACTTCAACATAATTACTGTCCTGTGAGAACGGACGGACGGACAAGGGTAAATCTAAATGCCCGCCTGCTAACGTGGGGGCACAAAAATAAAATGCCTTTAGGTAACTTATACTGATTACTGTACACTTAAATGAATAGTATGTGATTTTTTCCTGAATTATCTTAATTTAGAGTTCTTCAATATTCTTCTTACTTTCAAACAAGTTTGTTTTTTATAATTTCAGATATAGACAGTCTTCAAGCCAAATCTTTGGCATAACCCAAGCAAGCTGAAGCAGCACATAATGGAATGTGTTTCTGCTGTCACTGTCATGCTACTGACTTGCTGTCCAACTTAACCTGGCAAATGTTATAGTTACTGAGCTGAAAGCTTTTTTTATGATTACTGACTGTAAATTGTATGAGTTAAATGTGTGAATGTGATAGAAATGTAACTACCAAAATAAATTTGGATATACATGTAGTTTGTTTTTCTAAATATCTCATGCCATACCATTGCCTTATTTGAAAGTCCTTTTTGCTTTTTACACAATGTAATTTAAGATGGTGTCACCCATCTAAAGGAAAGGTTCGATCATATAGAAGAAATTAAATGTAGTTCTTATTAAATTAGCATTTAGTTATCAATTTATAAATTGTTACCAGATTATCAAAGCATATACAATATTGTTGAGTATTTTGAAATTCCATGTCTAGTACATAAAAAAATAAAAAAAATCGACCTACCTACCCACCTTTAAAATTATGGTCGGGTTACTGCAAACAAACATTTTTTTAAGGAAGGCCTGAGGAGAAATGACCTGGACAAAAATAAGTATGAAAATTAACAAAGGGCTATAACTCAAACAAGAGGGCCATGATGGCCCTGAGGTCGCTCACCTGTATATAGGGGGGCAGTTTAAACCATAGGGCTTTTATTTTAACAAACTTGGAAGACACCCATTAGAAGCTATTTCATGTTAAGTTTTTACTACACACATATAATGAAAAACAATGATCATCCCCCGCCCCTCCGGCAGGGCCAATTTTAACCCAAGGGCTTTTATTGGAAAAAACTTGGTAGACAACCATAAGAAGATGTTTCATGCTAAACATCTAAGCTCAAGCTCATTGGGTTTTTTTAAAAGAAGATTTTTTAAGTTTTTTCTATACACATATAGTTAAAAACAATGACACCCCTGGGGCAGGGGCCAATTTTGACCCCAGGGCTTTTATTTGAACAAAATTGGTAGACACTCACTAGAAGATGTTTCATTGCTTAATATCTAAACTCTAGCTATTTGGGTTTTTTCAAAGAAATTTTTTTCAGTTTTTGCTTTACACATATAAGGAAAATCAATGACCCCCGGGGCGGGGCCAATTTTGACCCCGGGGCTTTTATTTGAACAAATTTGGTAGACACCCATTAGAACATGTTTCATGCTAAATATCTTAGCTCTAGCTCTTTGAGTTCTTTAAAAGAAGATTTTTTAAGTTTTTACTATATGCATATGGGGAAAATCAATGACCCCCTGGGACGGGGCCAATTTTGACCCCAGGGCTTTTATTTGAACAAATTTGGTAGACACCCATTAGAACATGTTTCATGCTAAATATCTTAGCTCTAGCTCTTTGAGTTCTTTAAAAGAAGATTTTTTAAGTTTTTACTATATGCATATAGGAAAAATCAATGACCCCCCTGGGGCGGGGCCAATTTTGACCCCAGGGCTTTTATTTGAACAAACTTGGTAGACACTCATTAGAAGATGTTTCATGCTAAATATCTTAGCTCTAGCTCTTTGGGTTCTTTAAAAGAAGATTTTTAAGTTTTGACTATATGCATATAGGGAATATCAATGACCCCCCGGGGCGGGGCCAATTTTGACCCCAGGGATTTTATTTGAACAAACTTGGTAGACACTCACTAGAAGATGATTCATGCCAAATATCTAAGCTCTAGCTCTTAGGATTTTTTAAAAGAAGACATTTAAATTTTTTTCTTTCGGTTGCCATGGCAACCAGAGTTCTGCATGGAATTAAATTCTTTGAACAATTTTTAAAGGTGACCACCAAAGAAACATTCCTGTGAAGTTTGGATGAAATTGGCTTAGTGGTTTATGAGAAGATGTCATTTAAAGTAAAAGTCCTTGTGCACTGCACTTCTTCTTAATGAGATCTATCATCCTATGAAGTTTCAAGTCCATAGCTTTTATACATTAGGAGAAATGGCCCGGACAAAAATAAAGTATGAAAATTAACAAAGGGCAATAACTCAAAAATTAGGAAGTGCAGAGTACCGGTTCTTGAGCACTGCAATTTGGTTTATTGAAAAAAGCAAGCATACCAAGTTTGAAGTCAATCCGACTTATAGTGAATGACTTATGCTCCAGACAAGCTTTAGGGGATGCATGCGATGCCTCCGACAAAAATAACCCCTTTTCAAGGTGACACAATAAACAAATACATCAAATATGGTATTAATTAAAAATTGCCAAAATACTGGTAAATAGTAGTTATTATATAAATAAAGAATTAAACTTACTATCTCTAATCAATTGAGAAAAAAGTTCAAGTACATGTTTTCATCGACGTTAAGGCGGGTCAGATAGCATTGTTTCCTCTGTGTGAGCACATTCTTCATCTGTTTGGCTTTTGACTCTCTAATCTTTCAATATAAAGTAACATACCCAATAAATAGTAAGAATAACAAACCACTAGTTTGTAAATAACATTAAAATGATTTTTTTTTTAATCCTCCTAATGAACCTATTTTGTTAAGTCAACTCCACTTGTGCCACTTTTTCTCACTTTTCTTAATAGTATGCTCATAGGTAAAATGCTCTTATATCAAATTTAACTAGAAAAGAAATCCATCTACCATGTATTGGAAAATGTATTCCTTATAACAGATTATGTTATAATCAAAGGTATCCATCCTCCAGTGTCGACCAAATGCAGGTTTCTCCACTCGGGCCACTTCCAGTCAATGATCCTCCAGTTGCCATATCTCTAAACTCGGGAATAACTGCCATGTTCCATTCTGCTGGCTCAGATTGATGACAGCCACTCGCAAACGATTCGAGTCCTTGCAGATATTAAGTTGCCAGACTCCTCGGAATTCCATCCAAAGTAAGCCTCGATCAACAGACCAGGGGATATATCAGGGCATGAAACCGTAAGAAAAACTCCTGCTTGCTGTAAGTTTTGCCTAGCTTACAGCTATACTACCAAACACACACAAAAGCTAAACAATCTGGAAGAAGCTTCAGGATGGAACACTTATAATCCAAGTATATGTAATTTCTAGTTGGCGGACACTACTATATCATCTTTCTTGAGTCTCAAACAAACATTACCTATCGAATCACCGTCACACTGATATCTACTGAAGGCCTTCAAATGAATACCATAATTCTTATGATAATCATTATTTTATTTTAGTAATAGATCTATTATGCATAACACCATTAAATCAATAATTAATATCATCCTCAATTATTTACACCATCTTTTCAAATACCCCTTTTCTCTAGCCATCATCATTGTCATCTTCGTCATCATCATCATCAACATGACAATGACCACAACAACAACAACAACAAATTTTCCGTAATCTTCCATACCATGATATCTATTCTGATTACACCATTATATCAATATCAAATATTATCATCATGTCATATACCTCTTTTTCTCTAACCATCAAGCTGCATCATAATAATAAATTCATTATAATCCTCATCATCACCGATATATCACCATCATCATCATCGTTGTTGTCGTCCTGACCAACACCACCTCCTCCTACTCATTATCATCATCAGCAGCAGCAACAACAATATCTATGATATTACCATGATATCCTTTATAATACACTGTTATATCAATTCAACTATCCCTTTTCATCTTACCATCATATTGCATAATCACTATTTCTCTAATCTTCTTTTAACATTACCATATCATCTCCTAAATAATCAGCACTGTTACAATAATGTCTAACCATATCTCTATTTCTTATTGAATAACACCATCTCAACTATCCTTTTCGTCCGATACAATCATTTTGCCTTATCATCAACATAATAATCACCAACATCATCACATGATAATAATGATGATGATGATGATGATGATAATAATCATCATCACCATCATCATCAGTTTCCTCCAACCACCTCCTACTCCTCCTCATTATCATCAGTGTAACATTATCTCTATTTCTAATAACACAATCTCAACTATCCCTTTTTCTCATACAATTATTTTGCCTTATCATCAACATAATAATCACCAATATCATCACATGATAATAATGATGATGCTGATCATTATGATGATGATAATCATCATCACTATTATCATCAGTGTAAATTTATCTCTATTTCTAATAACACAATCTCAACTATCCCTTTTTCTCATACAATCATTTTGCCTTATCATCAACATAATAATCACCAATATCATCACATGATAATAATGATGATGCTGATCATTATGATGATGATAATCATCATCACTATTATCATCAGTGTAAATTTATCTCTATTGCTAATAACACAATCTCAACCATCCCTTTTTCTCATACAATCATTTTGCCTTATCATCAACATCATCATCACCAATATCATCATATGATGATGATGATCCTGATGAAGATGATGACCATCATTATGATCACCATTCATATAGATCACCAGTTATATATCACCTTAATTAACGCTAGCAGGATTTCTATATTATGTATTCTTTGCATGTAAGTTACTATTACTAAGATATGATATACATGTAATAAATGATTTCATACTTTGTTTGTTCCATCAAGGGTATCCATCCTCCAGTGTCGACCAAATGCAGGTTTCTCCTCTCAGGCCACTTCCATACTATGATCCACCCAGTTCCCGTATCTCTAAACTAAGGAATAACTGCCATGTTCCATTCTGCTGGCTCAGATTGAAGACAGCCACTCGCAAACGATTCGAGTCCTTGCGGATATTAAGTTGCCAGACTCCTCGGAATTCCATCGAAAGTAAGCCTCGATCAACAGACCAGGGGATATATCAGGGCATGAAACCGTAAGAAAAACTCCTGCTTGCTGTATGTTTTGCCTAGCTTACAGCTATACTACCAAACACACACAAAAGCTAAACAATTTGGAAGAAGCTTCGGGATGGAACACTTATGATACAAGTATATGTAATTTCTAGTTGGCGGACACTACTATATCATCTTTCTTGAGTCTCAAACAAACACTACCTATCGAATCACCGTCACACTGATATCTACTGAAGGCCTTCAAATGAATACCATAATTCTTATGATAATCATTATTTTATTTTAGTAATAGATCTTTTATGCATAACACCATTAAATCAATAATTAATATCATCCTCAATTATTTACACCATCTTTTCAAATACCCCTTTTCTCTAGCCATCATCATGCATCGTCATTGTCGTCATCATCATCATCAACAACGACAATGACCACAACAACAACAACAAATTTTCCGTAATCTTCCATACCATGATATCTATTCTGATTACACCATTATATCAATATCAAATATTATCATCATGTCATATACCTCTTTTTCTCTAACCATCAAGCTGCATCATAATAATAAATTCATTATAATCCTCATCATCACCGATATATCACCATCATCATCATCGTCGTTGTCGTCCTGACCAACACCACCTCCTCCTACTCATTATCATCATCAGCAGCAGCAACAACAATATCTATGATATTACCATGATATCCTTTATAATACACTGTTATATCAATTCAACTATCCCTTTTCATCTTACCATCATATTGCATAATCACTATTTCTCTAATCTTCTTTTAACATTACCATATCATCTCCTAAATAATCAGCACTGTTACAATAATGTCTAACCATATCTCTATTTCTTATTGAATAACACCATCTCAACTATCCTTTTCATCCGATACAATCATTTTGCCTTATCATCAACATAATAATCACCAATATCATCACATGATAATAATGATGATGCTGATCATTATGATGATGATAATCATCATCACTATTATCATCAGTGTAAATTTATCTCTATTTCTAATAACACAATCTCAACTATCCCTTTTTCTCATACAATCATTTTGCCTTATCATCAACATAATAATCACCAATATCATCACACGATAATAATGATGATGCTGATCATTATGATAATGATAATCATCATCACTATTATCATCAGTGTAAATTTATCTCTATTTCTAATAACACAATCTCAACTATCCCTTTTTCTCATACAATCATTTTGCCTTATCATCAACATCATCATCACCAATATCATCATATGATGATGATGATGATCCTGATGAAGATGATGACCATCATTATGATCACCATTTATATAGGTCACCAGTTATATATCACCTTAACTAACGCTAGCAGGATTTCTATATTATGTATTCTTTGCACGTAAGTTATTATTACTAAGATATGATATACATGTAATAAATGATTTCATACTTTGTTTGTTCCATCAAAGGTATCCATCCTCCAGTGTCGACCAAATGCAGGTTTCTCCACTCGGCCCACTTCCAGTCAATGATCCTCCAGTTGCCGTATCTCTAAACTCGGGAATAACTGCCATGTTCCATTCTGCTGGCTCAGATTGAAGACAGCCACTCGCAAACGATTCGAGTCCTTGCGGATATTAAGTTGCCAGACTCCTCGGAATTCCATCGAAAGTAAGCCTCCATCAACAGACCAAGGGATATATCAGGGCATGAAACCGTAAGAAAAACTCCTGCTTGCTGTAAGTTTTGCCTAGCTTACAGCTATACTACCAAACACACACAAAAGCTAAACAATCTGGAAGAAGCTTCGGGATGGAACACTTATGATACAAGTATATGTAATTTCTAGTTGGCGGACACTACTATATCATCTTTCTTGAGTCTCAAACAAACACTACCTATCGAATCACCGTCACACTGATATCTACTGAAGGCCTTCAAATGAATACCATAATTCTTATGATAATCATTATTTTCTTTTAGTAATAGATCTATTATGCATAACACCATTAAATCAATAATTAATATCATCCTCAATTATTTACACCATCTTTTCAAATACCCCTTTTCTCTAGCCATCATCATCGTCATCGTCGTCATCATCATCATCGACAACGACAATGACCACAACAACAACAACAACAACAAATTTTCCGTAATCTTCCATACCATGATATCTATTCTGATTACACCATTATATCAATATCAAATATTATCATCATGTCATATACCTCTTTTTCTCTAACCATCAAGCTGCATCATAATAATAAATTCATTATAATCCTCATCATCACCGATATATCACCATCATCATCATCGTCGTTGTCGTCCTGACCAACACCCGACCTCCTCCTACCCATTATGATCATCAGCAGCAACAACAACAACATCTATGATATTACCATGATATCCTTTATAATACACTGTTATATCAATTCAACTATCCCTTTTCCTCTACCCATCATATTGCATAATCACTATTTCTCTAATCTTCTTTTAACATTACCATATCATCTCCTTAATAATCAGCACTGTTACAATAATGTCTAACCATATCTCTATTTCTTATTGAATAACACCATCTCAACTATCCTTTTCGTCCGATACACTCATTTTGCCTTATCATCAACATAATAATCACCAATATCATCACATGATAATAATGATGATGATGATAATAATCATCATCACCACCATCATCATCAGTTTCCTCCAACCACCACCTACTCCTCCTCATTACCATCAGTGTAACATTATCTCTGTTTCTAATAACACAATCTCAACTATCCCTTTTTCTCATACAATTATTTTGCCTTATCATCAACATAATAATCACCAATATCATCACATGATAATAATGATGATGCTGATCATTATGATGATGATAATCATCATCACTATTATCATCAGTAATATTCTATTACTAAAATAAAATAATGATTATCATAAGAATTACGGTATTCATTTGAAGGCCTTCAGTAGATATCAGTGTGACGGTGATTCGATAGGTAGTGTTTGTTTGAGACTCAAGAAAGATGATATAGTAGTGTCCGCCAACTAGAAATTACATATACTTGTATCATAAGTGTTCCATCCCGAAGCTTCTTCCAGATTGTTTAGCTTTTGTGTGTGTTTGGTAGTATACATTGTAGCTGTAAGCTAGGCAAAACTTACAGCAAGCAGGAGTTTTTCTTACGGTTTCATGCCCTGATATATCCCCTGGTCTGTTGATGGAGGCTTACTTTCGATGGAATTCCGAGGAGTCTGGCAACTTAATATCCGCAAGGACTCGAATCGTTTGCGAGTGGCTGTCTTCAATCTGAGCCAGCAGAATGGAACATGGCAGTTATTCCTGAGTTTAGAGATACGGGAACTGGGTGGATCATAGTATGGAAGTGGCCTGAGAGGAGAAACCTGCATTTGGTCGACACTGGAGGATGGATACCTTTGATGGAACAAACAAAGTATGAAATCATTTATTACATGTATATCATATCTTAGTAATAGTAACTTACATGCAAAGAATACATAATATAGAAATCCTGCTAGCGTTAATTAAGGTGATATATAACTGGTGATCTATATGAATGGTGATCATAATGATGGTCATCATCTTCATCAGGATCATCATCATCATATGATGATATTGGTGATGATGATGTTGATGATAAGGCAAAATGATTGTATGAGAAAAAGGGATAGTTGAGATTGTGTTATTAGCAATAGAGATAAATTTACACTGATGATAATAGTGATGATGATTATCATCATCATAATGATCAGCATCATCATTATTATCATGTGATGATATTGGTGATTATTATGTTGATGATAAGGCAAAAAAATTGTAAATATATACCATAAACATGTACATATTATAACTAGAACTGCCACTATCATGGCGTTAATACCCCCGCATACCACTTTGTCAGAATCAACAGTGGCCATTTAAAGCTCAAGGACAACCTCCCTGTCAAATCTGAGGTTACTAAGCCAGTGCATTGCTAAGTTATGTATTCTACATGCATCAAATGTGAAAATGTCAAAAACAATACATTGCAGACAGGCATTTGTAAGCAATTGAGGGGAAAATATTTTTTTTGTCAAGGTCCCTGTGACCTTGACCTTTGACCCACTGACCTCAAAATCAATAGGGGTCACCTTATGGTCATGATCAACATCTATGCCAAATACGAAGACTTTGGGTCAAAGGTTTCTTAAGTTAATGGGTGGACAAACTTTTTTAGTCAGGGCTCCTGTGACCTTGACCTTTGACCAAGTGACCTAATCAAAAGGCTGCAAGCTCTGTGATATTTTCTGATCTTTGCAATCTAAATCGTACTGTATATCTGTATTTGTTTTCCTGTATTTTTGGCGCCCTCAGCGCGGCGCCTCTTATGGAATGAGAAAGGGCGACAGCAACTTCTCGAGCCTTTTAGTCGGACATAATAAAAGCCGATCATTCAGATCAGTATGAGGGTGCTTGATTCCCTGCGGTCTGGAGACCGCAGGGTATTGGTACGCGTTTAACTTTTGAGGCATGGAGGAGCACGTGACCTGTTTTCGGTACATGGAGGAGCATGTGATCTGTAAACCGTACATGATTGGTTAATTGACCTTTTCGGAAACCTGGATAAATACCGTTTGCCGGTACGTTACGGATAATCCTCTAGGGAAAAAGACACCTAATTAAGAACAAAAAACTATTACGTGATATTTTTAATTTTCTATAATTATGTTACCGTTTAAGGTGGAAAAACTTGAATGATGTGTTTGAAAATTATCAATGATTCTTTAATAATTATGTATCTCAAAATGTTACAAACAATAAATTGTTTATACTGAAAATCTACAAAATCTATTAAAATATTCGTAGTGGCATCTGCCATAATAAATACTTGTGTGTTTACTTTATTATTATTTTTTTGCTCGGAATTATTCATAAAATGGAAGGCCTATTTAATTTAATTTTCTTAAAAAAGAAATAATTGTTTTATGTTGGACCTTCTCCGGTCATCAACGGTCACCAGTTTCCAAAGACCTTCTTCTATATTAATCGATTACTGTCAACTATATTCCTGATACAAACGTTTATTTATCCTCGCCCCCCCCCCAGGGCTTTTATTTGAACAAACTTTGTAGACACTTACTAGAAGATGTTTCATGCTAAATATCTAAACTCTAACTGTTTGGGTTTTTTCAAAGAAGATTTTAAGTTTTTGCTATACACATATAAAGAAAATCAATGACCCCCGGGGCGGGGCCAATTTTGACCCCAGGTCTTTTATTTGAACAAACTTTGTAGACACTCACTAAAAGATGTTTCATGCTTAAAGACATTTTCTACAGTTTTATGAAAAATTAATCCTTTTATAGAATTTTCTAAATTTTTTGTATGATGAGTAAAATTTAATGACGAATTTAAAAATAAAAAGAAAAATAATTATATGTTGACGTGTTGGATTTCTTGTAAAATGGCAGTTTCCATGGTAACCGTATATCTAAAAACTGTCAAAATAGCCTAACTGTGTTATAACGAATAGAAAATGTATAAGATAGCTTAATTAAAACACACAACGAGCATTGTTTTATGCAAAGATAATCTTATCTAATGATTCTGTATGAAACAAATGATAATCTGAACATATTTCTTTAAAAAAATGGGTTCTCCATGTTCCTCAACCGAACAAAAAATGAGAAAAATAAACATGAATTCGGAGAATAATTAGAGATATTGAAAAAAGTGTTTCATAGGATTTTCTAATTTTTTTGTATGTTGCGTAAAATTCAATGACAAATTCAAAAAGAAAAAGAAAAATATATGTTGGCGTGTTGGATTTTTTGAAAAATGGCAGTTTCCATGGTAACCGTATATCTCAAAATAGCCAAACTGTGTTATAATAATGTATAAAATAGCTTATTACGCTCACAATAAACATAATTTTACACAAAGCTTGCTTTATCTTAGGGTTCTGTATAAAACAAACGATAATTGGAACATATTTCTTTAAAAAATAAGTTTTCATGCTTTTTAACTAAACAAAAAATGAGAAAAATAAACATGAATTCTGTAAAAAATTAAAGCTATCAAGAAATTTCTTTCATATAATTTTCTACATTATTGATATATCAAGTAACATTTGATGGTGGATTCAAAAATAGAAATAAAATATATATGTTGACGTGTACGTTTTTTGTAAACGGGCAGTTTCCATGGTTACCGCATAATTATGCCAACTGTCAAAATTACCATGCTTTCTTAAGTAATATCAGTGTTATACTAAATGTATTGTCAAATATACAACAAAAACATGTTGTAATAAAAATTTCGTTTTCTTTTGATCTTATATTAAGTAAATGATACTGAATATCTTTTTAAAACATATCTAGGGCCATATTATTATTTTCACTCGACTAACATACCCGAACAGTATTTAGCAAGTATTCAGAAATTTACAAAGAAAATAATGAAA